AGAGAAAACGAAAGGCAAGCCAAGGCACCTGGAGAAAGCTAAGGAAGGGCAGGCCCCGAAGAAGAGACCCAGAAGGCCCCATGCGGAAGGAGACAGGCACTCCGACTGCGCGGGAAGGAGGCGAGAACTAGTTGGGCTGGGTCCTGGGCTGCTACAGGACCTGCCACCTGAGGGGCCTGGAGATTGACGGTGGGGCTCGAGGTCACCTGGTGGGTCTCTCTCTGGCTCCAAAGGTCCAGCCCGGGATACTCCCTCCTCTGCCCTCCCCACTGCCCACCTTTCCCATCAGCCCCAGCACATCTTTGGTGTCCTGAATTCCTTGTTCCAGGTATTTGATGGATTTCTTCACACTGTGCGGCTTGTCTGAGGTGAGGTCCACCCAGCCTCTCAGCACGTAGCCCTGGGATGACAGCAAGAGGAAGGATGAGGTCCACGGTCCTGCATAACCTCAAGTCAGCCGGTGTCACCAGCCCGATGCCCCACCAGCTGTCACCGCAAAGCAGAGGCCCTGCCAGTGCAGTTGTTTGCAGATCCCCAGCAGCCCTGCTCTGTCTCACTGCAGACCTTTGTCCCTATTGTCCCTTTGCCTGGAATGCCCTTCCCAGCACATGGCTCCAAACCAAATCCCTTCCCCTGAGTAACTACCACTCGTGTATAGAACTTAGCCCAGGAGGCCTTCTCTGACCCTCAGGCTGGGGCTGGGCCGTCGCATGACCCCCCACAGCTCTCTTACTGAGGCCCTCTTGCCCGGCTAGCCTGGTCACTTCCTGTTTACTTTACACTGGGCTCAGGGTGCCAACACGGCGGCAGGCCGCTCCTGCTCTCTGCAGGGGATGGCGGGCACGCCCTCTGAGCAGGTGAGCGGGAGCTATTCTGAGCTCACCGGCCTTGGCCTTGCCCGCCCCCCTGCAGCCTTCGCCCAGCCTCTCCCAGCAGATGGGACAGGCAGGCACGGGAGGGAAGACTGGAGGGCCCTGGGGAGGGAGGCCCTGCCCTGAAGCATCCCTCGCGGCCCAGGCCAGCGTTTCTCAACTCTTTTCCATCACTGCCCTCCTAAGGAAGCTTTTTAGACCTTTTCCCCCTAATCATTTATTCCCTCCCCTCCATGACATTTCAATAGTATAGCCGTCCTGTGTATGTGTTGTACGTAGGTCTGTGTTTTATACATAAAGAGGGAGATTTCCGTCACCCCCTTCTAACCAATGTTCGCCCCGTTGGGGTGGGGTGTGATATCGCCCATGCTGAGCACCCATGGCCCAGACTGGGGCCTCAACTTCTGCCCTTAGTGCAGATCTCAGCGCGGGAGACCTGGGGTGTACAGGCCACCCCCGCCACCCTGCGAGTCACTGCAAGGACGACATGCAGGTCCGGTGTAGTCGGTTCATCTAGTTTTTCAAAAAAACCCCCAGGAAACCTGGACTTCCAGGTAAAAATCTCCTGACTTGTAAATGTTAGCAATGAATTTGAGCTTTTTAGAATATATAGTGGGGATCACAGGACACCTACCTGCAGATGGGACTCTGGACAAATGCCACTGTGTACTCAGCTAAGCCCTGAGACAACATGGGTCAGGACACCTCGAGACCCAGGTTCTTGCCAGTGCCGGGGCGGGGCCTTCCCCCAATCTCATGGCCCTCTGGCCCCTGTGGGAGGACCGGCCGCCCCACGAGGATGTACTGGGATGCTGCTTTCTCTGGCTGCTGCCCCACAGTGCCCGTGGGGAGTACCTCTCTGGGGCTGTTGGAGAGCTTCAGCATGCGGTCGATATACTCCTTGGCCTTGTCGTGGCGGCCCATGAGCCAGAGGAAGAGGCCGGCATAGTACAGGGCAGTCCCGCCGGCTGTCTTGCGGATTTCCTTCAGGCTGCTCTCGAGCTCCTGCACCGCTTCTAGGTCTGTGAGTCCCGGGAGAGGAGGGGGAGGACGAGTGAGGGCAGGCAGGTGGGCCTGGTCCAGCAGGAGGCGTGGAGCTCGCCCAGGAAGCTGCCTGGGCCTCGCCGTGGGCTGGCCGGCTGAGGTGTATCTATTCTCCCCGGTGCCCAGCAATATGCTGAGCAGGCAGCCCAAACCCCAATCCCCCACCTCACGCCCACGATTCATTCCGGATGGGGAAATAGTAGTTTGTGGTCTCTTGGAACCTCTCTAGAGAAGTAAAGATTAGCAGCCGCATTATTTATACCAGCTTGATTTTTCTTGACAACATCTTGGCAAAGGAAAGCAGGGAATCTCCCCAACTTTTGGGACCTGGAAGGAGGAGCCCTTCCACCGTCATGCTCTCTGCCTATGGCTCCCACTCAGCTGGGCCTGGGCAGGGGGTCTTCTCTGAGGCCTCGCAGGGGAGGGGAACAGCAGCACTCCTCAGGGGCCAATAGAACCCGCAGTCGCCAGGGCGCGCACCTCCTTCTGTAGCCCCTCGGGAGCGGGGGCTCTCCTCCCCTGGGGGGACCAGCCCCAGCCGAGCATAGCTGCACTCACCGATGGTTTCACAGCACTTGTGGGCATAAATGAGGGCCATGATGGAGCACAGGGACACATCTGGGTGATTCCGAATGTTCTCCAGGTTGTTGATGGCGTCCTGGATGCGCTCTGCAAAGAGAGACCACGTGGTTATGCTCTCGGGCTCCAGGCCCAGAGGGCAGACGGCTCCATGGCAAATACATCGGGCCCCTTAATTAGGGCCGACCCAAGGCCGGGCTCTGCCTGCCTTCACCCAGAATCAGAGGACTAACTGGTCCCAAAGCTCCCCAGTGGCCTGAGGACCCTGAAGGCTGAAGCTCCCTGGAAAGGCTGCTGATACCACGGTCCAGACCACCGGGGCTGGAGGGCTTGGAGCTGAGGATGTAGCCATGAGTATTCACAGGGATACTTGTGAGGCTGAGATTTTTGGCTTGGGTCAGTTTTGAAGAAGGCTCTCAGGGTATTTCCTGCAAGCTGCTCAAGAGCCAGCAATTACATTTATACGCCCATGTCCCCTGATTTGGCCAAAGGCAGCTCAGCCCATCCCTAGCCCAGAATCACCTTCTAAATGTCAATGAGTCAGCGCCTATATGGGCCCCACTCCTCTCCCAGCTCCTGCACTCTACCGGCAGGCACCCAAACCCACCACTTCCTCCTTTTCCTGCACTGCCAGCTCTCAGCTTCCAAGCCTGGGGTCAGTTCAATAATCATGCAGCCATCTCTCTGTCCAGATGGGGAAACTGAGGTGCAGAGCCACAGCAGTAAGCCTTCTGAGATCTCAAAGTCAACTAGATATGAATTGCACAGGCTTCTGTGGATTAACCTGGGGGTCTAGGCACAGCGTGTAAGGCTGTTTCCATGGCTGGGGGTTAGTGCTGGGCTAGTGCGCAGGTCCGGAGGCCAACACTGACCGGTCCTTACCTTCCCTGAAGACGCCATAGGCTTTAAAGAACTGCAGCACTGGGTCATTGCTGAATTTTTCCAGGCCCATGGCCGCGGCCTGCTGTACATGGTGGAAGTACTTTTCCTGGCTGTAGTAAATGATTCCAGCCTGGGGGAGGGAAGACAGGGTTGCAGTAGCCCTTCGCTGTCTCTGTTCTGACCCGCTCCCTCCCCTATGCCCGGCTTGTGCTCAGTTCTGTAAAAGAAAGAGAAAGAGAACATTCCGGCCTCATCCTCTTCACCCGCCCCAGGAGTGACTCCATGCAATTTCCCCGGGGAAGAGTTTAGAGGTGTTTGTTTTCAAATTATCCACAGATCCGAGTTCAAATGTGGAAAATTCAACTCAGACTGTCTTAGGAATGAACTAAGGGGAAAGAGAGGGAACTAAAAATAAGAATAATTACATCAGTAGTTATTTACAACTTATTGTGGGCTAACCACCTGCTGGAAACTGTACCCAGGGCTTTACATCCATTTTCTTCTGCGTTATTCTCTCCATATCCTTTCCAATTAAATGAGCTGAAGGCCATGGAGACTGTGGCTTGACAAAGGTCACAAAGTAAGAGAGACTGAGATTTCAAAGCGAGTCTCACTTCCCCCAAGGTTTGTGGGTGCTTGGGTTGGAGACAGATGTGGTTGGATTATAACAGCCTTGTGGGCCACGTGAAAGGACCCAGACATCGTCCTGAGGGTAGTAAAAAGCAGTTGGAATCGTTTTAAGCAGGGGAGCGATGAAGTCAGATGTGTTTCTGCAAAAACCACTCTGGTGGCTCTGTGTGTGTGGGGGGGTGGGTGGGTATTGGGTAGGGGGGACTGCTGGTGAAGAGAGCGGAAGCAGACAAACCAGGTGGGAAGGGGATTGTTACAGGCGTCCCGGGGAGAGATGGTGGTGATCGGGGCTAGGAGATGAAAGAAGCGGGTGATTTGGGAGCTGACATTTCTTGCTGATAGGTAGGATGGGGGCATAGGTATGAGGAAAAGTTAAACCTGGGGGATCAAACGGTGGTGCCGTCCACTGAGGTGGCGGACACAGAAGAGGCACAGACAGGGGAAGAGGAGATGATGGCAAGATGATGGAGACGGGTTTGGGTGCGTTGGTCTGGGAGAGCTTGGGGGATAGGACTGGGTGGGGATGCCGATCAGGGGCTCAGGCAGGGAGGACCAGAGAGAATGCAGTCTCCAGGCAGAGGCCGGCAAGAAGGAGGCAGGACCGCCTGTAGCGGCAGAGGACAGCGAAAGGCGAGTAAAGGGGACAGCAGGAGCGGTCAGAGAGAGGTGGCAGGAGAGCAGTAGGGCGCGGGGGGCACCGAGCCAGGGGCGGAGAGTCCCAACGAGAGCGGCCAGGCAGCGCCCGGGCCACGCACCATAAGGGAGGAGTCATTGCTGCTCATCTCTGGGCGCTCGCGGCTCGGAGTTCGGGTCCGGGGGGGCGAATTGGGTTCGGATTCCTGAATCAGAGTCCAGGGCTCGCCTCTCGCGGCCGTACGTCGCAGGCGCGCGCGTCCTTGGAGACGGAGCTGCCTGCCGGTTGCTAGGAGCGTCAGCGTCGGGCACCAGGGTGGGAGTAACAAAACGCCCACGTGACTAGGCGCTGGTAATTGAGCGCCGAGAGGGCGAGTCCGCGCTGTTGGCGCCTGGTCCGCGCTTCGGCACTCTGGCGCCGGAGCCGGGTCGCGGCCATGGGGCTGGGCTCCAGCACCGAACAGCCCGCAGAGACCTCCGAGGGCTTCCACCTGCACGGGGTGAGTCGCCTCAGCGGCGCCGGCGCTCGTGGCCGGGCGCCCGCACCGAAGCGCTGGGACTCCTGATCACCGGCCCGACGCGGCTGAGGCGGGGACCTGGCCACGGTTTGGCCACCCGGTAGGAAAGGGAGACCCCCCCTCCCGGTGGGAGCAGCCCGCGAGAGGTGTGACCCCGCAGCCCTCCTGGCGCCCGGCGCGTCTGCTGCCTCGTTCGGCCCGGCACCCGTCCCAGTGCCAGCTCTGCAGGAAGCCGGAGCGTTTCCTGGTCAGGTCCAGCAGCCAGGAATAGCACTTCTCCTGGGTGAAGACGGCACCCGGTCCAGTCGGGACGCATTTGTGCACTTATGTCACATTTATTATCGCCAGCTGTGTGCCGCGCTCGGTGCTGGGCCGGAGGACACAGCCAGGAACTCCGAGGTCCCGGCGGTCCCCGCCCTTGGGGCCACGGGGTCCGGGAAAGCAAGTGGACGCCAGCTGCTGACGGCCCGAGGGGCACGCGCATGCCGCCCATCGTGGTGTAGAGAAGGCTTCCGGGGCTCGTGGACCAGTGCTAACCAGCCAGTGCCAGTGGGAGCGGGAGAACCCTGCAGAGACAAGGGGAGGGCGTTTGCAGTGGGGGGAGGGTCCCAGGATGAGAGATCCGCGCTGAGGGTGTCCTTTCCGTGTCGCAACAAGGGGGTGTGGGTGAGCCGTCCTGGGGAATGTGGGGCTGGAGGGGGGTTCCTCGAATTTGGAGGTGAGGCCAGGGGCCCGCAGCCGGTGGAGATTTGGGTTGAGATTGGTACTGTGGAGAGGGAGGGGCTGTAACCCAGGTGAGAGGACCCGGAGGGTCTCCGACCCAGACCGGGGAAGGACCCCTTTTTCTCTCGTGCAGCGCGGATGGCTGCAGAGACTCGTGCAGACTTGTCAGTGGCTCTCCTGCCACCTCTCTCTGACCGCTCCTGCTGTCCCTTTTACTCGCCTTTCGCTGCCTGGCTGTGGCGTGACCTCGTCATTGTGATGGCAGGCTCTGTTGGGTGGGTGGAGAGGGAGGCTAAGGAAAGGGTTTTCTAAAATGAAGGTTGTGTTGGCTTCAGAACCTGGAGGTGACAGGATTTGTGTTTGGTGATGGGCTTTCTCTGGTGGGCATCGTGGTGAGGCCCGGCGCAGGAAAGGTGGGCTGTGGAATACATTCAGCAGGAGCGTCGTCCAACAGATCTGGTGGAAGGCAAAGGAACTGAGGATGTTGGCAAAAGGGAGGAGGGGCCCAAGGTGAGAGTGAAGACTGAAAGGTCCCTGTGGAGAGGGACAGCGTGGAGAGATCCAGGGAATGGAGCCCATCATTCACAAGGACAGGAACGTATTTTGCCGTGTATAATGTGCACGGTTTTGCTCAAATTTTGAGGGAAAAACAAGGATGTGCATTATACATGGACAGTACCTGAAACACATTGTATCTGTTTTGTAATTATTTGGGACATAAAATTTCTTGTACCATCATATGTTCAAAAACAAATGCTAAACTTCCTTTATAATGCAAAAAAACAAGTCTCTAAATGTAAATAAATAGTGGAATTAAAACATTAAAATGAACGGTTATTTTTCCTTGAAAGTTTGGGTCAAAAACGTGGGTGTGCATTATACACAGCAAAATATGGTAGTTCTGAGCTCTGTACTTCGTGGCAGTGAACTGCTGAAGCTGTGAACAGGGCAGACATCATCGGTTCTCATCTTTGGATGCCAGCAGGCAGAGAGAAGGGAGACAGACAAGAAATGCAGTCAAACCTTGGTTCTCGAACATCTCCCAGCCTCGAACAATTCAGTTCTCCACCAAGGTGCTCACAGAAAAAGTCCTCGGTTATCGAACTTTGGTTCTTGACCCAAATGCACTTTCATGCTGATAGCTGTATGATGTTCCCTGTATGATTTCGAACAAATCGCTTCTCAAACTGCCTTCTGGAACGAACTAAGTTCGACAGCCAAGGTTCCACTGAAATATATAGTAGGTGGCAATCGTTGCTAGGGGAGGAAGCAGGGTAAAGGGATACAGAGGCTGCGTGCGCGCTGTTTTGGGTAGAGGGGTCCACAAAGGCCTCTGATGAAGTCACGTTTGAACAGACACCTCAGAAAAAAATAAGGAGAAGACAATACAGGTGTCTGGGGGAAGAGCATTCTGGGCAGGTGTGGGGAGGCCCTGGGGGGGGGGGTGTGTGCTCACTGTGTTGGAGGACAAAGCGGGAGGTGAGGCTGCTGTGCTGGGATGGGTGGGCTGGGGGAGGGGGAGGGGGTAAAGGATGAGGCCAGCCTCCGCGCAGCCTTGCCTGCCGTCCTGAAGGTTTCAGATTTTATTCTGAGACGTGGAACCATTGGAAGGTTTTAAGTGGAGGCATGACGCATTGCTTATTCACATTTTTAAAAACGGAAGAACAAGTGCTGCATTATACACGGCAAAATACAGACCCGTTTTTGTGAACGATGACCTCCCATCCCTGGACCTCTCCACGCTGTCCCTCTCCATGGCGGCTTTCCAGTCTTCGCCCCCACCCCTCCCATTTGCCAATATTGTCAATTCCTTTGCCTTCCATCACCTGTTGGACGTCTTCTAGAACTGTTGGCGTTTCCGCTGTGTGCCACGCACAATGGAGCGTCCCCTGCCTTCAGGGAGCTCGCAGCAGTGGACGGTGCACCCCGAAACGGCTGGCACAGAGCAGTGGTTGGGGGCAGGCTCTGGGGGGCAGGTTTCTTGGGGTCAGATTCCTGAGTAACTGAGCACTAAGTGGGGGTTAGTAAAAGGGTGAAATGAGGGGCAAAGCAGGTGGTGCTGTCCCCTGGCACCCAGCCAACCCTCGCTAAGTGTGAGCTGTCATCGTTGTTGATCACAAGACGTTCCCTCATGGGAAACACAGGTGGGGGTTATGGGTTGTGGGGTGGGGGATTGGGTGTGATGGGAGCCCCAAGGGAGAGCCAGGCAGAGGGCCGTGCTTGTTGTGGGAGTGGTTTGGGGGTGCGGTGGGCAGCAGCACGGATTATTTCTGCTGTAGAGCCATGGTGGGTGATGACAGGGCCCGGGACAAGGGCAGTGAGTACAGCCAAACAGAGGACAAGGCCCCAGGAGAGGGTAGGCAGAGGCTCTGGGTGGGCTGGCAGAGGGCTGGGCCTGGAGATGGGCTGGGGGGCGGATTGGAGCCTCTGGACATGATGAATGATTGGAGGGCGGCAGTAGTGGGCGTGGCCTCAGGAGCAAGGTCTTGGGTCCAGCCCACGGCCTGCAGGCTGCATGGGGCCCAACACAAAATCATAAATTTACTTAAAACCTTTTTTTTGCTCATCAGTTTTCATTAGTGTTTGTGTGTGTTTTCATTTAATGTGTGGCCCAAGACCACTCTGCTTCCAGTGTGGCCCAGAGATGCCCACAGGCTGGACATCCCTCTTACCAGAGGGAAGTGAAGTGACTTGGAAGTGGCGCAGAGCAGGCAGACCTCTCCCCAAGCTATCTGTGATGATTGTCCTTTGGTTTTCAAAAGCCACCTAGTCCCAGCTTTCCCCTAAAGGGGTGGGGAGCCAGGCTCTCTAGGGCTTGAGTGGCCACTCTCGCTGGAAGCCATGGCGGCTTCTGGAGGTGGCAAGCGGGGGCTCAGTTGTGGACGTTGCCACGAAGTAGTCCTGATTCCAGGGGTGAATTGGCTTTGATCCGAAGGCTCAGCGGTGAGCTCTCCTTCAGCTTGGGGGATCCAGGACTGGAGGGGCTGGGGGGTGGCAGAAGCTGCAGGGTGTCCAGAACCAGAGGCCCCATGAGCCCTGTGCCCTCTGGGCTGGGGCCTGGCTGGGGCCCAACCAGCAGAGCATCAAGTGCTTGCAGCCAAAGGCCTGCGGGTGCGGGGCCCACCTTCGGGGTTGCGACCTGGGGGATAAAGGCCCCATTGTTTGAGCAGGGCTCTGTCAATGGGGCCTTTGAGAGAGACTTCTACCAGAGCTGCAGCCCTGGTTGTTGGGCTTTTGGAGACAGCGCGCGGGAGTTCAGAGCAGGGCAGGGAGGGCGCCCCCTTGGGCTCCTGGAGGAGATGTCCTGCCTGGGGGCTGGGAGTGGGGTGGGCGGTGTTGACTCTGAGGCGAGGATCCCGCACTGCTTGCCAGGCTCCTGGGAGTAGGCCCCTTCCTGTCCCCGGCGTCTGCTCTCCTCAGCTGCTCCTGTCACCTGCTGGCCTGGCCTGGGATCTGTCCCCACAACCGTGGGGCCCTCTGGGATCCGGCCGCAGGCTGACTTCTACACTGCTTCCTTCCGGACACAGCCCCGGTTCTAGCTCTTCTGGGGCCTGCCCACTTCCACTGGACGTCGGGCCCTTCCTTTCTGCCCATGTCTAAACCTTCCTGGGAGACCCTCCTGGCTTTTGCTGGAGGCCTGCATTGCCCTGGTAGCCCCTAGGACTGTCCCCCAAGGCATCTGTGGAAGCATGACCTGTGGCTCATGCTCAGGGAAGAGCCATTCTCCTAAAGAGGAAAGTCTGTGCCCTGGAAGGGAGTGAGAGGGAATGGAGTTCACTTTGACAATGACCACCGGCAGCCACTCCAGAACAGTTCACGCAGGGACCTCTTTCCTCCCCGGGACACGGGGAGTGGGAACGGTCGCGGAAACTGAGGGCTGGGACTTCTCAAAAGTCACCGGGCTGGCGTGAGGAATGTCCTCTGCCGTGTGACAGGTGCAAGAGAACTCCCCAGCGCAGCAGGCGGGCCTGGAGCCCTACTTTGACTTCATCATCACCATCGGGCACTCGCGGCTGGTGAGCTCCCACCTCCTGTCTCTGCTTTGCTCTGTGTGTGTGTGTGTGTGTGTGTGTGTGTCCGTCCGTCCGTGTGTCCGTGTCCGTCCAGCTCCTGCCTCCCTCTTCTTCTGGAGGGAGGCCCCGCCCAGCACTCGCTCCTGAGCTCCCCAGGGTGGACTGGAGGCTAATGGGCTCCTGGAGGTGGCCGCAGGGCCTAAGGAGCAAGAGAGGCGTGAGAGCTCCGGCCGAGGACAGCACTGCGGTGCCCTGGACCCAGGAGTCCCTTTGCCGACTTTGTTGTGTTTTCTGGGGTGGGGGTGGGGGCTGGGGGAAACAGGTTTAGCACTGCTTTGGGGGTGGCGAGGGGTCACAGTGGCTGCAGGCCCAGACACGGCCCCAGCCCAGCCCCTACCAGGCCCTGCTGGGGCAGCTGGCCACCAAGGCCCTCGCCCCATCTCGGACCCAGCCTTGTTTGAGTGGCCTGGCTGGGGGGTGTGTGTGGGGGGCCCTTGGAGTCAGCCCTCTGCCCCCGCAGAACAAGGAGACTGACACGCTGAGGGATCTGCTGAAGGCCAACGTGGAGAAGCCCGTGAAGCTGGAGGTGTTCAACATGAAGACCATGAAGGTGCGCGAGGTGGAGGTGGTGCCCAGCAACATGTGGGGCGGCCCGGGCCTGCTGGGCGCCAGCGTGCGCTTCTGCAGCTTCCACAGGGCCAACGAGCACGTGTGGCACGTGCTGGTGAGTGGGGGGCGGGGCTGGGCATGGAGGTGGGGGGGGCAGTGAGTGGGCGTTCAGGGCCTGCACAGCACGGGGTGGAGGGTGGGGGGAGGCAGGGGTGGGTGGGGCACAGCACGGGGTGGAGGGTCGGGGGAGGCAGGGGTGGGTGGGGGACGACGACGACATGCAGGGGAAAGGTTATGGGGCCAGAACACGTGGGTGTGTGTCTGTGGGGGGAGGGGTGGGATGTGGGGGCAGCTGGTTTAGGGCCAGTAGCCAGGGGGTCTCTTAAAGTACTCCCTAGGGGCAGGGCCCGGCCTCTCTCATTCCAATGCCCCGTACTTGTCCAGGGTACCTTACTTACTGTTAGCCATGTGACTTGGGGCATTTTTTTTTTTAACCCCTCTATACCAACAATTTTCAATGAGTGTGCCACAAGAATTTTTAAAACCTGCAATACCTGACTATTTAGGTAAAAGAGGCCAGAGGGGCACTGACCTCTTTTTCCCTTAGATTGTCAAATTTAAAAAAATGACAATAGCCAACCCAACAATAGCTGTCTGGTGTGAATGAATCAAAATTATACCTTTTTTTGGTCAGATTGGCAAAAATATATATTTTCGGTGTGCTGCAGAATTTTAGTCATTTGTTTACGTGTGCGGTGAGATGAAAAGGGTTGAAAATCGCTGCTCCAGACCATAGTTTCTTATTTTGAAAGGCGGGGCTGCCATCTACTGGAAGGTGGGTTGAACTGCAGGATGCTGCTGCTGCTTTAGTCTTTCCACACAGTGCTTTTTTCTGGCAGGTCTGGGGAGTTTGACCTTAGTGAGTCTCAGTAACTGAATTGTCACAATCGTTGCTGTTAGTATCTGTCACAGATACGCGTGCACATGTGAAATGCGCATCCACTGATGATGCCCAAGTTCACAAGAACAATTGGTCCTCCGGCTTGGCAGGAAGCCGGACCAGCTTCCGACCAGCTTGACCAGCTTGACAGGAAGGTGCCCCAAGATGGAAATTGGCTGATTTTTCTAGCCTCCCCCGTTGCTCACAGACTTCTTCGTGGGGGAGCTTCTCCACCTTCTCAGCCTGCCTCAGCTTGTCCCTTAGCGCCAGGGGTTGATGGCGCAGGCCCTTTGCATTCCTCTAGGGGACTGGGGGTGGTTGAGTCTTCCTGGGGCCCTCTCTGGGAGAAAGCAATCCTTGTGCTCAGTCCTGCTCACTGCCCTCCCCTCCAACCCCTGCTTAGGGGCCTTCAGCCATACTCCTGCAGCATTAACAGCAATGCACCTGGGCACTTACTGTAGCCCAAAGTGTGGTTTCCATTCTCTACATATATTATTTTTAAAACCTTTTCAGCAGCCCTGTGAGTAAGCACTACATACCCTGCGTTTAATTGGGGAACTGAGACGGAGGGGTTAAGTATTTGTCCATAGCCCCGGAACGAGCAGTTGGCGAAGTCAGGAGTTGAACGCACTGCAGATTCTAGTTGTGAGCCGGGCCCCAGTGCTGTCCCCTGCTGGGCATGCTGTGCACCTGGGGGAGGTAGGGGAATTCAAGAGTAAGGCAGGAAGGAGTCTGGGCTTGAGGCTTTGACCTGGGGACAGAGGACAAGTGTTCTGCTGACTACCTGGAGTGGCAGCTCCCTGGCCCCTCCCCCACTTCTGTTGCAAGCCTGACAGTTCTCAATTCTTTCCCCAGGATGTGGAACCCTCTTCGCCCGCCTCCTTAGCTGGCCTGCGCCCCTACACAGACTATGTGATTGGCTCAGACCAGCTGCTCCAGGAGGTGAGCAACCCAAGGACTAGCCCTCCTCCGGCCACTAGATGGGGTGTGGAGATACCGGTGCTGGCCATGGGGCTTCCAGTTCCAGTGCGGGGAGCAGGGTTCAGGCGCTGTGTGTTTGTCGCAGTCGGAGGACTTCTTCACTCTCATCGAGTCCCACGAGGGGAAGCCCTTGAAGCTGATGGTTTATAACTCCGAGTCTGACTCCTGCCGGGAGGTGTCTGTAACTCCCAATGCCGCCTGGGGTGGAGAGGGCAGGTACTTCCCGGGGTCGGAGGGCTGTGGGGTGGGGCCCTGGTGGGGCCAGTGGGCTTGGCCCCCGGAGGCCTGTGGTGGGGGTGGAGGGCTGGGCCCTGGCCCCAGGGATCCTGAGGGTGGCCTTTGGTCCAGGAGGCACGATTTCAGGCCCCTCACTGCCATCGGCGGGTGGGGGTGGCAGAGATTGGAAGGGCTGTGGGACAACCTCTAGACTGAATGTTTCTGGATTTCGGCAGTCTGGGATGTGGTATTGGCTACGGGTATCTGCATCGGATCCCAATCCAGCCCCCCAGCTACCACAAGAAGCCACCTGGTGCCCTTCCACCTGGTACCCCACCACCTGATGCCCGACCATCTAGTACCCCGCCATCTGGTACCCCACCACCTGGTGCCCTGCAAGCGGGTACCCCGCAACCTGGTACCCCACTACCTGGTACCCCGCCCCACGGTGCTCTGACATCTGGTACCCCACCACCTGGTGCCCTGCCACTTGGTGCTCTGCCACCTGGTACCCTGCTGCCTGGACCCACCCCCCAGGACTCTCCTGCCCCTCCCGGCCCAGAAGCGGGTGCCAGGCAGGGAGGCTACATGGAGGTACGTGGGATGCACCTGCCAACCGGGGGGCGTGGGGAGCTTCACATGAACAGAGGGGCCTGTCGGCTGGGGAGAGAGAAGGGCTCTGGAGGCTTCTCTCACCAGGGGCCTATCTATGGAGCCCTTAGGAGGCCCATCAGCTTTTGGGACACAGTGGGAGCAGACGGACCCATTCTGGGACAATGGGACCCATTTTGCTTCTCCCGCCACTTAGGTTGGGAAGTGAGGGTAGTGGCAAGGCACTAGTTGTCATTTAGACGTTATGAGTGAGAAACTGAGGCTCAGGAAGGCAGAGCCTTGATCTCTGCCTCAGTGAGCTGGTGGTACAGTTGGGCCAGGGCTGGGTATCCGGAGCCCCAGCTGGGCTGGTTGTCCGGCTGAGCGAGCAGGGGAGCCTGGTCTTGCCTTCACGGCTATTGACTGAGCAGGTCACCCGAGCGCCTTTAGGCTCTGGGCTGGTGCCTGGGATCTGCACCGTGGGCGTACGGGTCTGCTTTCCAGGCATGCGGGAATTCAAGGAAGGCCCTCTCTTCTGGTGGGTCATTGACAGGGCCCAGCCAGATGGCACCCGGGCCCCTTGGCAGAGTGGCAGGAGTGCCCCCTCTCCGTGTCGGCCCGGCAGGGAGGCCAGCCAGGCCCGTCTGACTGCACGTCACCTGCAGAGCAGGGGCTGATCACCGCGGCTGTTTGTTCCGCCAGGCAGGGCGGTGCTTCTGGGGCAAGTGGGGGCTGGGGGTCAGGTTGAACTACACTGTCCCGGCTGCCCTCTCCCTGTCCCCTCTTCTTCCCTGGCTCCCCTAGGCCTTGCTGCAGGCACCCGGCTCCTCTGCAGAGGGACTGCTTCCTGAGCCTGGGAGTCTCGGCTACGCTGCGCCAGACCTTAGGGGACTTCCCCGTCCCATGGAGACTCCTCTTCAGCCTCCACCTCCAGTGCAGCGAGTCATGGACCCAGGTAGCGAGCAGGCCCTGAAGGGGCTGCTGCAGGACATGCAGCCCCCGGCACTGAAATGGGCCCCGGGCTCAGGGCTGGACTTTGGCGACAGCACCAAAACCATCCCCAGACCTACTGACCCGTACTAGACACCAAGATGGTTGCAGGGGATCTGATCTAGGGTCGGATCTCTGGATGGGGAGACTGGAGTCCCGGGAAGAGAGGTGACCTGCCTAAGGTCACAGCAAATTGGGGGCAGAGAAGGGTCCGGGCCCTCTGCCACTGTGCTTCTCCCATGATGCTCGATGTCAGGCCCCTTTCCTGAGAAACAGGCAGAGGAGAACCTCTTTGGGGTCGGGGGCGGGGCATCACCACTGGCTGAGGTTAGTCCCAGGCTCAGGCTGAGCCAGAGACGGGCAGAGCGAGTCCAGGGTACTGCTGCTCAGCCGTCAGGGTTTCGTGTCAGCAGAGAACTGTGTCCTGCCCTCAGGCTTCCTGGACGTGTCTGGCATCGCCCCCTTGGACAGCAGTGCCGGTGTCTGGCCCAGCCTGCCCTTCCCAGGGCTGACCTCCACCGCTGCATCTGCCTCGGGGCTGGAGGACGTCTGCTCCAGCGGTGGCTCTCACGAGCGTGGTGGTGAGTGGCCTGCGCCCCCTGAGGCCTCTGGGAAGGGCTGTTGGAAAGGCTGCCCCGGGTTTCTCACGTGGGTTAGGGGCTGGCCTTCGGGAGGAATACAGCCACATCAAGGCACTTGTGTGCTAGCTTTCTCATCCCCCATCAACGCCTGGGGTGGGGGTTGGGGGTGGCCCGTGGGGTTACTGCCCCAGGCCACTCTGGCCCCAGGTTCTGCAGGCCTCCTCAGCCCCATCCTGTGTGTTTCAGGTGAGGCCACGTGGTCTGGGTCAGAGTTCGAGGTCTCCTTCCCGGACAGCCCAGGCGCCCAGTCCCAGCAGGACCACCTGCCTCAGCTGACCCTTCCCGACAGCCTCACCTCCGCAGCCTCGCCGGAAGATGGGCTGTCTGCTGAGCTGCTCGAAGCACAGGCTGAGGAAGAGCCGGCAAGCGCGGCGAGTCCAGATTCTGGGACCGAGGCTGAGGGGGCAACCGGCCAGGCCCAGCCTTCTACCCCAGAATAACACCCTGGGCTATGACGAGGCCCCTGGTGGCATTTCGTGAGGCCCTGGTGTGGGGAGGTGGCTCGGGCCACTTCAGGGCCCAGCCCCTTGCCTGCTCCCAGCCCAGCATGTCCAGTGTCCTAGGCTGTGGCTCCGTGCAGGGACTTCTGCTGGTGGGGGGCTCTTGTGTCCACTCAGACCTTACTGGTCTCCAAGAAATGACCTCCCAGCATTAATTCTGAGTGATGGTCCTGGCTTTGGGGAATTGGGCACTTGTTTGAGAACCTCAGACGCGTCCTTTTGGGTGGTAGAGGGCTGGACACAGCACCTCAGGTTGAATCAGTTCTGCAGCAGCCGGGATAGGAGAGGAAAGGCTGCCTCACTGCTTGTGTGGGGCTTGAAGCCTCAGTCGGTGGGTACTAAGAGGCAGGGTGTGGGCCTTGGTTGGGGAAGGGCATCTTTCGGCCATGTACGGTGAGGTCCAGTGCTTGCTTCCGCTTGGTCACCGTGGCTTCCCCGGAGCCAGAAGGGTCCAGACACGATCAGGTGTGACGATGGGGTCAGGAAGGAAGGGGTTGCTGTGGAGTGTTTGCCAGGTCGCTTTGTTAGACTTGCCTTGATTCTTCCTGTACAGCTTAGCCAGCGCTATCTGTACTAGGCGGCACTCCCAAGCCCTGGGGACCCCTGAAGCCCAAGCTACTGCCTCTCTGTCATGGGCTACCCCTGTGCCACACCGTGCAGGTGGCTCAGGCTGACTGGCATCTGCCAGCCACAGCTGGAGGAGAGAGGTGGTGAATTTGCCCACCTCTCCCAGGAGGGCTGGGAATTCCAGGCCCGTCAGCAGAGACTCGCCGGGGCCTGAACCCCAGTGTTTCTTCTTCCCCAGGGCCTATGCTCCACAGGCCTAGTATCCCAGGGGTGAATCCCGTCAGCCCCCAGACTTACACTACTGTCTCTTCTGAGCCCACAAGGCACCCAGCCAGCCCCAGTGGCGAATACCGTACAAGTTTAAATTCACCGTCTTAAGCAGACTCTCAAAGCCAGTCCTGACTGGATCTCCTTACACGCAGCTCCTGCCACAAGGGGGGAAACGAGAGGCTTGGGCAAGAGTGGATAAGGGCCTTTCTGTTCTTTCCCATAGTATTGTGTGTGTGCGTGTGCATGTGCATGTGTGTGTTGGGGGGAGGGATGGGGGAAGCTAGTCCTCCTGCCACCAGGTGCCTAGGGAGGCTGAGGCTGGGGTGGGTCCTCCGGCCTGCAGGAAGGGGCGGTCCCCCCAGGCGGGTCCTCCGTCCCTTGACGTTCTCTCCTGCTTTGGCTGCAGTCCTTCACCTCCCCATGCCCCCTGCTTATTACCAAGAAAGCTGCCTCTGGCCTTGTCTTCTATTCTCTGTCCACATAAAGCTCCTCTTTGCTGTGTAATTTGTAATGTCTGCACTTAAAAGTAAACTCAGAGCTCTATTAGGCCCATAGCACAAGGACTATTGGGTCTGGGGGGCACAGATCAAGTATATGGAGGGAGGGCCCCAAACTAGCAAACACTTGGCAATTTCTAGCACTCTGACTGCATTCAAAGCAAGCCTGTCAAGGCCACCAGCTCAGCCAAGCCTGCAAAACAGGGAGGCCTTGTGCCCGAAGCCGGCGCCGCAGCCTGGTTCCTGGGCTGTCTGGGAGCCCGCGTCCCCTGCAGGAATCCAGGACGTAGGACAGAACTGCCACAGCACTGCTTGGAGGGCGGCTTCCCTTAGCTGTGGCCTGGGAAGCGAAAGCCACTCCTACTGAAGGGATCTGGGTGTCCTCACTGTACACACTCGTCGCCTGAAAGGGGCGGGGGGACAGGTAAAATGGATGTCAGTGCTAATTATTTCTGGAGTTAACATGAAACCAGCGGTTTCTTTTCTATAACCTGCTATGAAGGAAAATAACGAGTGAAAAAAAATAACGTACTACACTTTGAATATTTTTACTAAAGCCTTTATTCTATACAACTGAAATACAGATTTTTACGCTTTTGGCAGACTCAGGTTTTCTGGAAACCTGCTGGGTTGATTGGAAGAAAAGAAGAAAGTACAACCATGCTGGGGTCACACCCACGACAGGGAGGGAGCGCGGCCGCCCTCGGTGCCATGCACAGGGCAGCGCGGCCAGCGAAACCCATCCTTTGCCCAAGGGCCCTCATCAAACACATCTGAGGGCTGGAGAATGAACTGTTATTTTTTTTTTTTTTACATCAACTCACAACTATTGCTAAAAAATGTGCACCAAAGGTGCACTGGTGTATCCAACAGATAGAAAGGATTGTTTAAAAAAGAAGCCGGCTGCTCTGCTAAGGGAGAAGGACTCGGTGGGAATGTGGCACGTCTTTGCTTGCGTCTTCAAGGAGCCAGAGGCAATGACCTGTCCACTTTCCTAAGGAGGCTGCCCAGCAGTGAGGGGGCCTTGTCTCCACAGTTGTGCGAATCGGAGTACCTCTAACAGGAAGGTTTGGACCCAGGCCATCAGCTGTCATCAGCTGACCCTGCGAAGATGTAGAAAAGCCTCCCCCGCCCTTCCCTGTCCCGGCTGCTGTGGGCATAGGCCGCGCACAAGCGGGGGAGGCCCCGGACTGGAAGAAACTGCCCTCTGAAGGCACTTGTGCTTCTGGCTCCACGCAGGAGGCCTGTCTCATGGAGTTTGATTGCGGGGGGGGGGGGGGGGGGGGAACCATTGTTCTGGTATGAATACAAATGGCCTTGGGGAGAGTCCAAAGTGTGTTCTGCCAAAAGTTGAAGTGTTTATCTCCAATAAGTTACGTTCTGTACAATATCCGAATGATTCTATGAAAGCTTTAGATTGTTAGAAAGAACAGTGAAAAGAAATCTGGATATAGGTACAACAGCAAAAAAAAACCTGCATATAAAATTCTGGATAAACAAATACGTGTATTTCCAGGCTATGAATTACCAAAATAACCATGACATCCTTTTACTGACACCATACATTTAGGTAGCATTTAAATGAAGTTTAAATTTCACCATTGTCTTTAAGTTCTGATGGTGCCACGCTGCTTGCCCAGAGCAAGAACCTGTGATGTCACTTAGCTTTGTCCCTAAATAAACGACACAGTGGAGGAAGGAGTGAAACAGCCGTACCTCCCTGTGGCCGCCGTACAGTCTGGGGCCCTGCGGTCGGTGCCGCTCACCGGGCACAACACTCCCAGTGCTGTGATCCAGCCCCTGGAGGCCCAACAGATCCTCCTGTAAGAACACATCTTGGGTGCAGTATTAAAAACAAGCCCAACAATAATCACTTACTATGAAATGGGCTGGCTCTAGAATTGTGCAACGGCAAGTTCCTATTAAAAATAACTGTCTTCAATGGTGGGAACAATTTGTTTGTTTTTAATGACAAACTTGGAAAAGCCTTCCTAAGTACTGCATGAATGGAATGTACTCTTAGAAAAGCTACACAACGTGTGTGAAGTTGAAACACAGTGACAGATACGGCCTTACAGCTGTGTCTCTAACAAGTGCTAACAGACAAAGATAAGGTCCTTTGAAATAACAGGAGGAGGCCAAGTCTGCACCGGCCTGTCCTCAGTTCTCTGTACACCTCACAAGACATAGTTGGCTGGGGATTCCTCTGCTCTCATAGGCTGCCTCCCTGGGGACAGCTTAATCTACACAAGGAGACTGGTTTCTATATTACATTTCGATTAGTCACTTCAATTGAAAGAGAATCTTGGTCCATACCCAATCGGCCGTTAGAAGTCTTGCCCCCGCTGGGGCTCAGTGGGCTTCCTAGGACTACTCTTGGGGCCAGAGGAAGGTCAGTACACGGATACCCAGGAGGCTCGTCCGCCCTTCACGTGGACTTCTGCCGGTAGTGTAGGGTGAGGTCACCGCCGCTCTTCCATATGAAGTGTTTTACTGTCCGAAGGTCCATGTTTGGATCCAGAACCTCGGTAGCAAAAAAATAACAATGTGAAAGCCTCTAATAGCTAAGACCTTTACTGTTAACTCGGGGACTCATCAGCTGATCCAGCTTATCCTCTCCCCGTGCCCCAAGGGGGCCTGCTCTTGCTACTATGGCTGCCCTGCACATAGGCACGAACCTGGGTGTGGGCAGAGGGGCAGCTGCGGGGCCAGGCCAACAATACTGTCTTCAGCGGCTCCTTTGGAGAAGGGCCTTGGGTGCATCTTGATTTAAAGCAGCTCCCCCCAACCTCCACCTCAAGCCCTGAACTAACACAACAGAATTTGCTCTGCAAGTCAAGATGACCCATATCTTTCTTATTAGGAGCCTCATAAATCGGTGGGAGATATCCAGAGTTCATTAGAGCCTCTCTGAAAGCAGAAGCCCCCGCCAAAGGCAAGAGACTTGGAACCATAATCACACCCTGTTACGTAACTGCCGGAGCACTGGCCCTGGAAAAACAAGGTTATGGTCCGGAAGTCCATGTACCTGGTCCTGGCACAAAAGTTCAATTTTCTCCTCTGCCAACACAGCAATATCCTCCTCTTTTTCCTGTTCTCCTGGTTTTTCATTATTAGAAGAGCTGGTGGTTTGAGACTCATTATCCAAGTTGATGATTTTCTCGTAAACATGCTCCATTACTTTCCGGACTTGGAGCATGTCACTAGCAGAGAGTCTATCTCTGTAAAAAGCAACGGCAGGTTGTGACATCATGAAATCACTAGATATTATTGCTTCCATATTATCTGGTGTAACATTTGATAAAGATGAAATCGTATCACAGAAACATAAACCAATATAATTTTCAGTCATTGCCTTAATCCATTTTTAGAACTGCCAGCAGGTTTTTTATAGTGTCCTTTTAAGACAGGTTTATGTTCAACTAAGTGAGATTATATACACGTTCTTAAAACTTAGGTACACATAAAGAATACCATTCTGGGCTTTACCCCACTAAAGACTTCCCCAGAGCACGGACAAACTAAGTGCTCCCGGAAGGGAGGGCGCCCCCGGGCTCACCGGGCTTGCCTGCGCCTGCGCTCAGCGCGCATGCGCCGAGGGCCGCCTCCCCACAGCCAAGACCTCGCGCCTCAGCCTCCTGCCTGAACTCCAGACCCACAAACCCATTAGGGGACTGGGTACTGCCAGTTGGCTGTTCCACAGGAACCTCAAACTCTACATGTCCAAATCTAGATTCAATTTCCTCACCCTCAGACCTACTTCTGTGTCTTTGACATCAGCAAATAGTCAAACCAAGTAAGCTCTGGCTCAAACTCTGAAAGCCATCTTGTGTTTAGGGTCATTAAGTCTAGCTGCAGTGATGTGTAGGACTTGCTTGCGCGCGCGTGCGCATGTAGGCAGGTGGTTGGGAGGGTAGGTAGAGGTATAGATGAAGCAAAATGTTCAGCCGCCATGTGTTTCGAATTACTGAAGCTGTCGGATGGGATAATGGGGCTTCATCCTCCTATTTTTTTTATGTTTGAAAATTTCCCCCACAGAAGGTTTTAAAGCCTTGTAGATTTTATTTGCTGGGATATATATCAATGAAACCTCTTAATTGCTTCTCTGATTTCCCTCCTAGTTATTTTCCCACCAGCCCTACACACTAGGCTGCCACTATACAGGTCCTCACTGATTTTCAGTGTCTTGTACATGCTTCCACGTCTACCTCCCTGATCACACCATTTCCTGGATCTGGAGTATCTCTCTTTTGAAGTTCTATCCATCCTTATGTGTCCAGCTCAAATCTGGTGTCCTTTGAGAAGCCTCTCTGGAAAGCACTAGTCAAAAAGTCATTTCTTGCATCAGCCTGCGAACCAAACGGTCATTGGTCCGATTCTCAGTCTAGGACACATGCCTGGGTTGCAGGCCAGGTGCCCAGTAGGGGACGTGTGAGAGGCAGCCACACATTGATGTTTCTCTCCCTCTCTCTCCCTCCCTTCTGTCTAAATAATAAAATAAATAAATAAATCTTTAAAAAGAAATCCATTTATTTCCCCTACACACGTGATTTCTTAAGTATCCATAAAAGCAGTTGTTATTACAGAGATCATGCATGACACTGAATTATGGCAAGAGACAAAATCCACGTCTTATTTTTGAACATCCGTAACCTACCATAGTAAGTACTTGGTAAATGGCTAAATTGTATAAAGTGTTACTATAAAGCTAGCCTTAGGTCTAATACTGGCCTCTTTGGTATGAATGCAATAATAATGAATTTAAAAAACCCTCTCTGGTAATTAGGTCAAAGCATCACATGACACTATATTTACTTACTTTTTTAAGGTTTTTGCTCCTGAAGATGCATGAGGTTGGAGGTAGAAAGGAATTTTGTTGAATTTGGGCATATTTTTCTGAAATATTAAAAGTAAAAAATGGCATAGTTTCTATTAGCGATAAATTTAAATGATGTCAATAGGAAAACATGATTTACAAGTTAATAGTTGTTTTACAATTAAAAGTCACTTTCTACAAAATATACAGTAAGCTAGCAAATTATCTAAGTTAGCCTTAGAGGCACTATATCAGAAAAGTATAATGTTTAGTAAAAAAAATGTTTATAATATAAAAGTTATAATGTTTAGTATAATCTTTTGTAAAAAAAAGATACTATTTATTGTCAGTGGCAATATGAATTTGCCAGCACGGCTCTTTTCAAATAACAATTCAAGGTATTAAAGGGAATCAAATTTTATTTTACTTTGTTAAGCCGTACAAACCCAAAATCTCAGTTCTATATTAAAATATTAGAGCTGATCCCTAAAGGCCCAAACAAAACATTGTCTTGAGAGAAGCCCACATCATTCACCTCTGAGCAAAACCACACACTCTACGCTGGCGAGGGCCATCATCCAACTGAAAGGCCAATCGGTCCTCCCACTTTCCTTCCCTCTGACGTCAGAGTGAGGGCTGAGGCTTTACGCAGGAGTGGAAACATCAGCCAGCCACACAGGTGTCCACCGTGAAGTAAACCGCATGCTTAGGTGAAGGGTAAAGCTCACTGGTCATCTTTTCTCGGGGTACTAATCCTCTCCAAGCCTCCATGCCGTGTCCTATCTGGATGTCTCCTCCCAGGGGTGGGCCACAGACCTGAAGTGAGCACTGCCTCCCAGGCGAGGCCCACACTCCAAGGAAGGAGTGGTTTATGGGGAGCTTGGGCTCCGAGAGGACCACAGAGTGTCCCTCGGGTGTCACGCTGGCTTTAAGCTCTTGGAGGTAGTTTATCTGGGAAAACAAACTTTCTGAAAGTTCTAGAGACTAAATCTCTTTTCATATGGCTTTAGTAATATACAAAAATAGGTCAACAGCACAGAAGAGAGTCTAGAAACAGACCCATGTGCATACAGAAATTTGGCATGTGATAAAGATAGCATTTCAAATTAGAAAAAGGATAGGTTTTTAAAAAATTGTGTTGGCACACTGGCTATCTATTTGTAGAAAGTTAGCATCCTACTTCACACCAAACTAAATAAATTCTAATAGATTTAAAGATCTGGACACAAGCGATTACCATAAACATACTAGAGAATATGGAACATTTTTGCTACGTTGGAGTGGGAAATACCTAAGCAAGCCATGAAACTCAGAACTATAAAAATTCAATCTGATTATATAAAATTAAAACTATTCGCCTGACAAAAACAGCATGACTAAAGTAAAAATTCAATTGAGAGGCATAGGTAATAGTCAATGGATTAATATTCAATAGGAAGAGCTCCTATAAATTAATAAGAAAGACAAACAACCCAATAGAGAAGTGGGTAAAGAACACAGACAGGCAATTCACAGAAGAAATAGAAACAGCCAATATGAAAAGATGCTTAACCTCACTACAAACTTAAAAGAAAAACCAAAAGAAGTCCTTGCTGGTACAGCTCAGTGGATTGAGTGCCAGCCTGTGAACTGAAAGGTCCCCTGTTGGGTGCGTGCAAGAGGCAAGTGATGGATGTTTCTCTCATACATCGATGTTTCTCTCCTTCTCTTTCTCCTTCTCTTCCCTTCTCTCTAAAAATAACTAAATAAAATCTTTAAAAAACAAACAAAAAAACCCCAAAACTATATTAAAACAATGGGACAGTACTTGCCTATCTTTTAGCAAAGATTACAAGTGTCCAGTGTTGGTGAGGGTGTGGGAAAATGGGCCTTCACACACTGTTGGTGAGAGTGTAAACTGGTATAGCCTTTGTGGAGGGCAATTTGGTAATATCTATCAAAATTTAAAATGTGCATACCCTTTGATCCAGCAATTCCACTTCTAGGAATTTATCCTAAAAAGTACACAAAGATATATGTACAAGGATGTTCACTGAAGCATTGTTTGTAATAGAAAACATTGGAAACAACCTAAATGCCCATTAATAGGGAACTGGTTAAATATATTATGGTATATTTATACAGTGGAATATTATACAGTCTTTTAAAAGAAATGTTCCATATGTAGAGACATGAAAAAAATGTTCAAGATATATTTTTAAGTGAAAAAAAAAACCAAGTTGTAGAACAGTATGTGTAATAAGATCTTGTGCAAGATAAAATAAACTATAAGCATATATACAGATAACATATGCTTACATAAGCAAAGAAAAAAGCACTAAAGGCTACACACTAAACTATGAACAGCTATTCCCTCTGGGGAAAGGACAGGGAGTGAATGGAAGAGGAGTGAGTGAGAAAGGGATGGGAGTTTCCCTTTATTTACTGTCTTTAATATGCATGTACTATTTTTATAATTAAAAACCAACAAAGATAAGTATCAATACTACTTCTGCAATTTTGTAAGTACAGGGAAGCAGAAGAAGATTCCACCTAGTGGTCTAGTTTTGTTTTGTTTACCCCCCTAATAAATTTATTCACAAAATGTGAGACTGCAGAGGGTCTGGGGGTCGGCGGGCAGAGGCCTGGGGAGACAAGGGAACCTCCGGGTGGAAGGGTGCTTTTTAATAAAAAAAAAGTTACAGGAGCTCCAACCACTCCATCCTCTCTCCCTGACTTAAAAGACACAAGAATAGACGTGACACAAGAATAGACACAAGAACAGTCTGTGAGGTTCACGGGAAGCCTGGGACTCAGGGGTGTTGAAAGGGTGGCACGCACCAGGGCGGCGCCTGCATCAGGTGGCAGAAGAGCAGGCAGCCCTCACCAGATGTCCCCTAGTCTTCCTGACAGGGAAACCAGGAGAGTCACTGTAGACATGCCCGTCAGCCTGGCACCGGCACAGGGCTGTGCAGTGGCCCTAGTGGACGCTGCCCGAGTGATGGCAAAGGACATAGAGCTGACAGACGGGGCTTCCGGCTTCGTCACTGGCAGTCCCCTCGGCTCAGTGGCTGCAGCAGGAAGGCAACACCTACTGAACTTTTCTTGATGGGGCCTCAGGAGGCAGCAAATTAAGATGGACCACGAGGATTTGGGGGAATCTTTGTACTATTAACTTTTTGGTACTTCATGTTTTCCTTGGCAGCTTAGTTTTTATTCAAGTTTAAGGTTATAACAGCCTAAAGCAGGTCTGAATTTGCTTCATGATTTGGAAAAAACACAAGGGCACAGTGGGAGTGGAGGACACTTACATCCACAGTGATGTCAATTACCCATTGCGGCACTGTCTCATTCAAGAGCATCGACTCGGTCTCCCCTCCGGAATCCCGGCAGAGCAGCCTAAACACAGGTCGCAGGCAGTGAGCGACACAACACACAGAGGTGAAACACCACCCCCACCCCCCGCCCCCGCCGATCCCTGACGCCACCACAACATTAAACAGTTCATGGCGTCTGTCTGACTCACTACTTCTTGGCCAATGGGGGCTTTCTTAACAGGGCCTCCGGCCCACCTCTGCCCCTACCTGAACAGCGTGCGGCCTCCGGCTTCTCCAAAGATCACAGGGGTGTGTGGGGGCACTTGGAAATATCCATTTCCCTTCTGCACTCGGTTCTCCTGCTCCCCGTTTACTAGGAAAGGTACAGAAGGTGTCAGATACAGAGCTGGTGCTGCCAACACAGATTCTGGACATTTCGTTTACACAGGTTTCAAACACTAAGATTTTTAAGGCCAAAAGCCCTACCAAGTCAGCCAGTGTCCAAAATAAAGGCAAAAAAACCCAAACTAAGTTAGATTTCTAAAAATAAGAAATGTGGCAACTTGTGATGTGCCTTATGAGAAATGACTGCATTTTAGAGGGCTTCAGTATAAGAGATTAATGTCTGAGACTTGAAACAAACACATAACCATCTACTTGAGCCATGGGGAAGTCTAGGACAGCCTGTTTATAAATGGCAATCAGATTTTTTTTTTTTTTTTTTTTTTTTTTAGGAACACCAAACTCAGAAAAGTTTCTTGGGCCAGAAAAAAAAAAAAGTTTAATGGTAGCCATAACTAATGGCAGAGGTAGGCAGAGGTATCAGCAGAAAATAAAATCCTCAAAGCGGTCATAATTCTGTTTTGACCACTCTCTGCAGATTTCGTTTCACTGTTTTCTCTGTAATCTTTTGACCCAAGAGCAATTGGCCCCCATTCAAGTGCCAGCTTGTTCATAAATATCTCCCTAATGAACCTGGATGCAATCCTACCCACTGAAATCCTACAGCACCTTTAGAACCTCTCTCATGGCACCCAGCACCTCTCTCTAATCTCCGAATACTTTATGTAAAGGAGCTCTCTGCCCCAGCAGAATGCCAGTCCCTGCGGCACAGGGTCCAAGCCCACTTACCTACATTACTCCCACCTACAACTCACTACAGGCCTCTGAGTACTTGAGCTGCTCAACAAGTATAATCTAAGCAACTCCTGAGTGTCCGCTGAGCATGGGGCAGGTGCAGCAGATTACCAGACAGGGGGAACGTGCAGTGTCCTGGGCTCTGGCTGGGGAGGTGGCCAAAAAGGGGCCTTGCCCTGCTTTTACTGGGGCAGTTTGACTTTAAGAACAATTTGGGGTTTCCTGTGACTTCTTCCCACTGCCCACCCCCCACCCCCAAACAAAGCCTAGATGCAAGAGATACTGCCTGTACTACTGTTTCTTGATTACTTAATCTTTATGCTATACTTGGGCCTGTGAGGGCATCCTGTCTAACTGTCATGTTATAGAAAGAGAAGGACAAGCCATGGACAGAAGTGACAAGCCCACAGCCACACAGCTGATAAATGACAGAACCTAGCTCTCTCCACCCTCTGTGGAGAGCTCTTTGTCTGCGTTTCTCCAGGTCACAGTCCACTGTGACATAAAAGAACTGCCACCATGGGTGAGATCAGAGCCCTCTCTAGGACAGGAACATCAGAAGACTCGCTTTCAGGGAAGTATGGCATCCCTGCAAGAGATTTAAACTCCCAAAATCATCATGGATGAGTCAGTTAGCCAGAACGGACTCTCTGACAGGACTCACTGTTGACCATTGGGAGTGAGCGGCTGTCAGCGGGACCTTCAAAGAATTCAGAGAATCTCGGCAGAGTGAACCCTTCTAGGCAGAACGCAAGGAATTTTCCACCAGCTGCAGGTCACACACGAGTTGTCAAATGTTAAGATCTTCCCCGCTTTTCTAATCAAACTGAGCAGAACTCACACACTGCAAAAGTGGTCCCCTCCGCTGCCTGGGGCACACGCCTCTTTCAAATGCCTCAATGACATCACTTCTTTACACACACCTGTTCCCTCTTCCTGACACTTCTGAGCTGGAATTTGATTTCTTGAAACATTCAGGGCCAAGATCAGATAGATCATCAGAGGAGGTAATGGCAACACTTCAGGCCAACATGAAGTATGACAATACAAGGACAAATCCCGCAGGTCCACGGACACCGAGAAATATCTTTGGAATAAGCCTGCTAAGCTGCCTACTTTTAAGGACAGAGGTCATGTGAATATATAGGGTTTACTCCCTCTATCAGTTTCACTAATCAAAAGTTCCTTAGAATTTCAGTTAAGACTGGATGGATGGTCTTACTTTGGGATGTGGGAGGGAAGGCAATACATTGGGCACACCACAAATACTATGTCACAATTTAGCAAATCCTTAACATGTTTCTTAAACTAACAGCCAGTCTAAGTCTCTGTAACATATGAGTAATTTTAAATTATCTATCCTGACGTAAAAGCACGAACCATGGTTCACTTCACTTTCTTCTTCGTCCATGGGATTCACGTGTGTCCTGGGCCAGTACTCTAGGAGTGCCTGGAGTAGAAGGCCTCCTAAGTTCACTGCAAGAGAGTCAATTAAAAAGAAAAGAAGTGGGAAAGAGAATTACTTGTTTTCACCTAAAAATAGAGGGAAAGAAATAAGTTTCCACATATTCTGATGTTAAATTTTTCACCCAATGCCACTGATGTTTAAAAGCAAGATTTCAGAGATTTTTGCCAAGTCTATTAAAATTTTACCTTAGAAAGTTTAAAGCGGTGGTTATGTGGAACAAACATAGTCTATTTGGTTGTTCCGATATAGCCGTTCTTTAAAAAGGAACACATGCAACAGGAGCTGTATTCCTTAAAAGGCTATTGCCACATGATGCCACTCAAACTGTATCTGTATACGTGAGGTCCATGTTACACTCTTAGGAGAATACTAACCACAGATATCAACAACAAAACACAGCAGACTCTTACAAAGATGAGCGTGCTGTGGAAAGCCGCACAGACCCACTCTTTCAAAAGGAGGAGAGGAGGGACATGGACTCACATTTTGGATCCGACCCGTCGGGGCTGCTGAAGCCGGCATCTTTTGCAGACACCCAAGCAGCAAAACAGTCACTCTCATCCAAAGTAATAGTCAACATCTGTCAAAAATAAAAAATTGTTCGTGGCATTCTATTTGAATACATCCTTCAGGTATCTAAACCTTTCTTTTGCTGATAAGCCAAAATGAGTTTCATGTGATTCAATGCAACTACAATTTACTAGGGCACCAAGAGGCATTTAAACTACATTTTACAATAACATTTTTTTTTTCCTTTCACAGTTGAAAACACAGGACTCTGTAACTAATGATACTTAGTATTGAGCTTTATTAAAAACTGCCACTATCCCAAATCGCACAAGTACGCTAACTTACCCCTGTTTTTAAGTCTACTGAGAACCAATTTGGCACATACACCATCTTAAATCTTTTCTTAATTTCCTCTTCAAAATCCACTTTTCCCAAATCTTCCACTTTACATGCCTATACATGAAAAAGAAAGTACAATAATTATCAATATTAAGTGGCAAATTAGATTCTGATTTAGCTATTCAAAATTTTACACATTTTCACATTTGCCTAAATAAAATGGAGTCTAAAACATATTTTAAAAAGAAGTCGTCATTTTTACTTTAAAGTATTTATCTTTAAATAACTGTTACAATTATAAATTTACCCCCCCCCCAGATATTCCCTTTTTGGAAATTATAAATTTTGCTGATATTGATATAATATACTACCACTTTTAGCTGGAAGCAATGCAAATGAAGGAAAAAATCTTCAAGGAACAAACACTCACTAAACACTTAGGAGCACCCTGAAGCTACCTTCAGATAAATAGCTGACGGAGGCAGCATTTTAAGCTTCTTTTCCTTGACCACTATAATCCTTCCTTATCCCCCCAAATCACATCCCGAACGTCTTCTGGCTCCATGGAGCACTTCAGTCGTGGACTGCCCGTCTCAATCCCGAAGCGCATCAGCACGCTCCTTCCTACGCCTCATCCGCATAGCACCCTGACCCTGTCAGGGTCCCAAGTCTTCTGCATCTTCTCAAAGGGCGACTCTGCTACTTCTACATTCCATACCGCCTGTGGCACAGAGACCATTACCCATCATCTCTACGTAAACACTCCTGTTCCTCTGAGGCCCATGTAATTGGGCTGCAGGAACCTGTACCCCTTTCCTACTGCCATCTAGCAACCTCTGTGGTCACTCCCTCACTTACTAGAGACTTGAGCCCTGGTTCAACGTCTTGCAGTCCATCTTGAGTTCTTGCTTTCACCCTGGACATCAGCATCCATATGGACAACAGAAAGGACATGCTGATCTCTCAAGTCCTTGACAATGTCCCTATTATGCATGTGCAGTCTCCACTCACAGCTGGATCATTAATGCTACCTGGAATTTCTTCTGCTTCAGAGTCAGTTCCCCACGTCTTCATCTTTACTGTCCTCATATCTTTGCCCTTCTGCCCTCCCTCGCTACCCTCGGCACATGACTCTGACCTCTACTCCTCATAAAAAGGGGCACTGACGAAACCTCCCTCAACTTTCTGCTACCATCTGTCCTGGTGCAAGGAAAAGGTGTCTCTTCTTGCTATGCTCTGGGTCCCCTCACTTCTCGCTTTCTGGGGATCTTGTTCCACCATCCACCTTCTTCTGTCTCTGTTGGCAGCTCCCCACGAGCAGGGAACCATGATCAAATATCTCCCATCTGAAGAATACCTGGACACCGAAAGAAAACCTTCCTTGACCTTTTTATCCCTAAATCCTCTCCAGCTACTTCCTCTTCACCGCAGCAAAGACAAACCTTGTCTGCACTCACATCTGTTACTTCACCCCCCAGTCACTATTCAACCCATTCCACCTGGCTTTTGCCCTTAGGACTCCCTGGAGACTGCTTTCCTCATACACTATCCTCTTTCTTGATTAAGTCCACGTGCACATTACATTCCATATTTTGCATGACCTCTCAGCAGGCCAATGCCGCTAGCCCTGAGCTCCTTTTCAAAATGCTTCACTAGTTCTTGAGCTGCTACTGACTCTTGGTTTTCTTACACCTTTTTAATACACTTTTGTAGCTTCCTCCTTTTCTAACAATTCCTGAAAGGGTGATGACTTAGTTCCTTCTCTGTCACTACAGATGCAACCCTTGGAAACTTGGACGTCTTCCATGACTTCAATTTTAACCCACGAGCTGGCAGCTGCTGAACCTGTTTCTCCAGCCCAGCTTTTTCAGTGCTTTAGGCTGTACAGCTGTCTGCCCAGCAGACACCTCCACCCTGACGTCCCATCGAAACCCCAATTCATTGTCCTTCTCAGCATGTCTCTCTCCCCCAACAACCCATTTTCCCTTTTACATTCCCTACGTCACCTCCACTCACCAAGCTGTCTCATCCAGACACCTGGAAGTCATTTTCCTTTCCTTCATACGCCCTTTGATTCAAGCAATACTCTTATCCACAGGCCTAAATATCTTCTTAATCATTCTGTTTTTTATCTCTCTTGTTCCTATCCAGTCCAGATAGAATATATTTCACCTATGCGAGTGCAACAGCTTCCTAACTACTGTGTGCCAGCCACTATGATAAATACTTCTTGAACAGCCCCTTAACATCCCCAGGAAATAAGTACCACCACATTTTAGGAATAAAGACAGAGGCTGAGAGAGGTTTAGCATGTTCTGGAAATCACTTCGTCTACTAGCTGGCAGAGCCAAGATTAGAAGGTAGCTCTGTCTTACTTTGGGCCTGTTCCTAACTACTCCCGACTTCCCTTCCTTGGTTTAATGCCATATTCATTACACCCAATCACCTGCTCTCGAAACTTCAAGGTCTAGTGTCTGGGTATGGGAAGCTGCCAGAGACACACAAATGCCAATCATGGTAAATGCCTGCTCAGTGCCCCCATCTAAGTAGAACCATCTCCCATTAGGACAGCAGGACTCTACTAAGGCTTTAGCGAATTAGCTCAAGAGGCCATCAGACCCATAGGCAGAAAGTCAGTAAGCCAGCTCTCAGAGACCAGCCTGCCTGATGAGATTTTCTTGGATCCTCTGGAGGGCACCACGAGCTGGGCAGCACGAGGGGGTCGTTGGGGGTGGTGCCGGCCCTGGGGCAGATAGAGCGAGGGCCACATGAGCGGTGGGGTATCCAAGTTCCTGCTGATGAAGTCCTTAGGGCTGCCCAGGATGGACCTCCTGTCTCTGCAGGACCCCACTCTACAAACCTGAGTCTCTCGTTCCCTGATAAGCACATCTTTGTTGTAGAGACAAACCACTGGACTTGGGGAGCCTGCTGCAATTAAATTTTCCTCTCAAGTAAGGCCTCTTGTTCTGAAGCCATGCTCACCAAGCAATTGTTTTATAAAGTGACTTCCCACACAGCTGCCCCACAGGGAGGAAAAGTGTTAGGCTACTGCTTCTATTCAGACAGTCCCTTTTCCCCAGAAAGAAACTTGTTTATCTTACTCTTTAGCTCCAGAAGTGAACGTAAGTGAATCTCTGTTTTTAACAACCAGGAGCCTGAGCAAAACCCCGATCTTTTCAATTCTTCCTTTGTAATTTTTCCAACACCTGTCTGTTCCTTTAGAGAGCCTCAAATCATTAAACTTCAGACAACTATCTTCCCACTTCTTTCCCATTACACATACCACTATTGCTCTGAACACGGGATTTTCCTGCCCTAAAACCACCTAAGATTAGGCCTGGCTGGTGCGGCTCAGTGGGTTGAGAGCTGCCCTGCAGGCCTGCAAACGGAAATGTCGCCGGTTCGTTTCTTCAGGGCGCATGTCTGGGTTGCAGGCCAGGTTTCCCATTGGGGGCGCGTGAGAGCAGCCAACCGATGTTTCTCTTGCACATCGGTGTTTCTCTCTCTTTCCCCTAACCTCTAAAAAATAAATAAAATCTTTAAAAAAAAATCTAAGAATAAGATTCTCAGGGAGTACCAAAGAAGGGCCAACGCCGGGGCTTGTAATGCGAGACTCTTTGGGAAATGACCCGAGTCTCACCTTTCGTCCTTATACCCTTAGGGCTCCCTTACACTCACCTAGTCTCTAATTACACAACACTGCTCACCTTACCCTGGAAAAGCCATTACCTCCCCTCTCTTCTGCGTCTTTGCCGTTCACTTCCTCTTCCTAAAATGCCCCCCCATTATTCATCTGCTGGAATTCTTTACGACCCTCTTCAAATGATTTCTCCACCATGAAGCTCTCCCAGTTCTTCTCCAGTTCTAAAAAACTGCCCCTGTCCATAAGCTAGCAAATCCTGTGATCTTTTTATTTATTTATTTTACCTATAAGGCTTTCACATCCCCCAACTTTTGTCCCTCCTACGAGAAGGGATCATGGTACAGAATTTTCTGTTACTTATGACTCTTAGCATAGCTCTCGGCATACAATATTCATTCAATCCAGGAAACACCTGTTCAACGAAAACAACAACTCTAAGAAGGGGCATTTGTCAGAACTCCAAAACAAACTTCGCAAACTGCCTATCAACCCCTCAGCGCTACTTAGGATGTGACTGAACAGCCAGCTGCATCTCAACCACCCCAGAGGCAGCTGTCGTAGCATGACCTGCAGCTATAACTGGCGCTCGCAGTGATGGCTACAAATGCCAAAAATGGCCAAACTTAACTCACACACCCCAGCAGTTCTCAGCCTAGGGTCGTTTTGCACCTTTCGTCCTCTCCCTAAACACCTGGCAATGTCTGGAGACATTTTGGGTTGTTACAACTGACTTGGGCAAGGAGGAGGTGGTTACTGGCGTGCATTTAGTAGACAGAGGCTAGGGTGCTGCCAAACACCTTACAGCACACAGGACAGACCCCCCCTCTCCCTCCCCCGCAGCAAAGACTCATCTGGCCCAAACTGACAACAGTGTCAAAGAGGAGAAGCTCATGTACTGTATTCATTTTAAGGTAAGGTAGCCTATAACACAACTTGCAATATGCTAAACAGAGAAAATGATGGTTCCATTCAAATTTTAGGTGCCTAAAAAGATGAACCCTAGCCTTATCTAATACATGAGAAATACCCACACACAAAAAAATATTATTGCAACTAAATCTTAATTTCTATCTGTATTATCTTGAGATATATACCACTTGTATATATTTATTTATATAAAGAATAAGTTGGATATATGATCCAGTAACCTATATGTAATACAAAAAGATACTCACCTTCAATACATCCCAATATGCCACATTATTATTGGTATCTTTGGTTAATATGTGTCTCTTATCATTAAGAATGTGGCACTGAATAATACTAGCACCGCCTAAAGGAGAAAAACCCACACAATTAGCAAGAGTCCTTCTACTGTACTATTTAAATTAACAGTACATCTACGATTGTTAACTGGTATGTAGCAGAACAGAAATCATACTAGCCACCAGGAAGAAGAAGGTATAATACCATCTCATTTCCTTACTCACCTTTAATAACCTGGTCAGGTTGTGTACAAAGGGGTGTTATAGGGTTTGTACAGTCATTGTCATAATCTCCAGAAGCTCTAAAGTTGTGAATTCCCTTCAATGTCTGAAGGAAAAAAATTCATTATTTAATCATTTTATGCTCTATAAGCTTTACCGATCTGTTTAAAGAGAAAAACCCAACAATAACCACATCAACCAAAAAATACATAGTAACGAAGCACAATTATCTACCACTGGTTAGAAAAACCAAAACAAATATTGAGAAGGGAATGTTGTCTTTTTGGAGAGAACACTAGGCACTGTTTCAGGTAAACTATGTCGATCTCATATCGGCACAATGAAATCTAGATAAGCTATATAACGTTTGTTTCAAGTACAGAGGAAGGCCACTGGAGAGGCACAGAAACAGGAATAAACATAAACATTTCTATTGTTATCCACAAAGAGTCTGGTAAGAAAACTGAAAATCTTCTTTAATTAAGATTTAAGAATTAACAGTGCTTTTGATGACTTCTCTCTGATCATCCTCTATTGCCATTCCCGTTCTTCATACTGAATGAAGAGGAAATGAACCTGAAAGCACAATTTTCAGTTTTCTCCATGTTTAGAAAAACAGAAGCCTAACAAGTCTCCCTGCCATGCTGATACTTGGGCTGCCTGTTCCCAAATGCAGCTTCAGGAAGTCAGAAGCTATACTAATCTCTACTGGCTGTGTCAGGCTACAGTGCCAAGTCTAAGCACATCAAATATATTCCTTGGCTCCTGATCAAGATACCAGAAGCTTTATTTTGACTACTACCTTAATTTTTGGACGACCCTAGGCTTACATCTGCATTCATCGGGGCTCTCAGATTTCTGCTGAGAGTCAGGTTTATGCTGAGCTTTTGACTGGTACCTGGCAGGTCTTTAATAACAAATCACGTGTTTCTAATCCTGTGCCAAGGGTAGTAGGGCTTACTTACCCATTTATTTACTGTAGATTTAGTTGTCGCAACCCAGATTGCAGGAGGGGGATCAGCTGATCTATCAAGCTCCATCTGAAAACAACACACAAAAATATCGCTTTGTGGAACATTGACTCTTCTGTGCTGCCAGGACCAGCTACACCTTATTAAATAACTCCGCCATTCAACATTTGTGTTTACTATACCATGGCATGCGTGAAAGGCTAGGGAGCCAACAGGTGAAGGAGGGAGTTTGTGCTGAAGAAATTTGTGGCTCTACAAGGGAAGTAAGGGTGAATTCTCACCAAAAACTGTGGCCTTCAGCTTTAAGCGTAGTCAATTTAAGGGCTCTAAACGAGAACAGTCCAAAGGATGACTTAAATTTTTTTGTTTCTACTGCCCTTTTATGTTCTTAATAACAAATAAATATGCTTTTGTTAAAAAAAAAAGTTTGTAGTAAAAAACAACATGGCAGAACCCCACATAATCCACCCTCACCTAAGGACAGTATACTTGTGAAGAATTTACTGTGTGTCCTCTGGATTTTTTTAATCCTATTTCTTTTTGCATTGCCATTTATCCCCCTTATGGGCCCCCCCCCCCCCCGCCCCCTGCCCCCTGGCAATCACCACACTTCTGTCCATGAGTCCTTTTCCCTTTTTGCTTGATGCCTCCACCCCCGAACCACCTACCCCACCATTGTGTCCTCTGGATTTTTAAAATACTAAATGTATAAAGTACACAAATGCCCACATGTATTATGCCCATGGAATCACTCTGCATCCCCCATTGTTCTTCCTGTGCCAGGAAACTGTGGGACTGGAGCTGTGGGGACAGGGTCGGGCTCTTAGCAGGCAGGGATCCTCTTCAGTTCCAAGTGATGCTCCTTGTAACGCACGGTCATGTCTGTGCCAAGTTCTTTCCCTCCACAGCCGGGGGATGCTGGCAGCTGCAGGACTCCCATGCACGTTCTCCTCGCCCCTTGTCGCCCCCGTGGCTTGCTTCCTGCACACGTGCTGTGCCTGTGTTTTCAGCCCCACCTCTCGTGCTTCTCTAAGGACTACTGGTTTGTCCGCTAGGCTGTGCCGCCTATTTTAAAGAGCTGTATGTGGCCAGTTTTGCATGACCTCCTTGACCACGGGCATCCTCTCATTGGACCTCTAGTCCCTTTCCTAGCCCTTCCTCCGATACTGTGGTCTGGGTTTCAGATACCACTCAGTTTCACGGATGATGGATTTTTGCTGCTGTTTACTGTTTTCCCTGTTGTTTCCAGATGATTTCTGAGAAGAAGAGGTAATGCTGTCTTTATGCCTCCATTTTAAATCTGGAAATTTCCTTACGGCTGTTTTAATGTGCAATTCTATGAGTATCAGTGAGGCCGAACATTCTGCCACAGGATGGATGATCAGCCATGTTTAGCCTCGGCTTTACCTGTAGCAGGTGTCAGTTCTGACAGCTTCTCAGGCACCCACCCCAGACCCTGCTCAGGACCCTGTGAGGCAGTAATGGGGAGGAGGACGAGCCAGCTCACTCCCTCTTCTTTGGGGGCACTCTTCCAGAACCTCTCTCTTGGGGCAAGGGACACATTTCTGCTTTGTCATCTGCTCAGGATACCTGAACTCCTCATATTCCTCCTCTAATGACAGGTTAGGCAAGCCAGGTGATCTCAGGAGCAATGTGGGGCAATCCCACTAGGAAATGCCAGTGGGAGAGCCAGGCGTCCCTGATGTACGTGGGAAGTCACCAGATCTCCTACAGGTGACTAACAAAAATGTTAAAATATCTTTTTTACAATCCCACAATTGACTCATGTTTTAATAAAAGTTTTGCTGTATTTGGTTAGCATACTTAACAATCTTAATTATATAAAACAAAAATATATGACATACCTTAAGAACTGGTGCTTTTTCTTCACAAATCAGCACTCGAATGTCAGGGTTTCTTAGGTCTGTACAATAAATCTTCCGGTCCCTTCCTCCAGAATACACGTGTGTGAAGGCGTCATTGACTTGCAGAGCCCAAACACCTTCGTCATGGACTCGGTAAGTTGCTATACATCTCTGCTGACCAAGGGACCAAAGGCGAATGGTCCCATCAGAACTGCCAGACAGGCACTGGGAACAAAGAATGTTAAGCTTAGAAACCTGTCCAAAAATTCCTGCTTTCCTGTGCTTTGCACTGGGCGTTTCTCCTGACTCCACACTGTCACACACGCACTTCTAACCACCAGTATTTCTGCCTCTGAGGAATGGCTTGGCCCAGTAATGTTGGTACCAATCAAAACAACCGCACTGGTGCTAGACCTCAATTTTTAAGATTTGCTAAGTAAGAATCTTACTCTATAGCGAAGGAAGTGAGGCAAGAGGCTCACATCCATAGGACTCACTGGCCTATTACGCATTCATAAGTCCTTGAATTACAACGCCACCAGAGACCCTACATTAGGAGCTTGCCGGGCAATTCTGCAGGGTGCAGTATAAACTGTGGCCCAGCGTACTATCTCCTCTGTATTACAGGAGTTTGAGAGTCAGTAAGTAAAGATTTCTCCCCTCACCCTTTTTCCCAAATCAGTCGTTAGAGTTGTTTTGTTGGTCAACTCCCTAATGTATTGATAAAACTGCTGTGTTGCTGGTGGTTAAATTTACATTTAGTCTACAGGGGTCAATAAGGAAAAGGGACGGAGGAGGAACGAGAGAAGGAAAGATACCCGCTTCATTATGTGCTCATCCAATGCTGACAAGCAGCTTTTAAAGTAGCACCACATCATTGACTCTGCTTACAGTAAAGTAGCCGACTTCTGGTGAAGTGCATTTCCTTGCTATTTAAATCATCTTGGGTAAAACCACATTCATAAATGTATACACAGGAAACAAGGCATGGAGGTGAGCAGTGAGGAGGAGCTTCAGAAAGTCTGCCAGGCCCAGAGCGCCCTGCTGGAAACCATCTTCTCTACAGCCCATCCTTCAGGGCAGTCCCACGGAGACCCTGCAGTCCAGTCCACTCTGGACGGGAGAGCAGGCGCGGGCACGCGCTCCAGGGCGGCCCGGCAGCTCCACAGCAAACAGTGAGGAGCTGACTGCATGTGGCCTCTTAGGCTCACATGGAAACGGGGCTGTGGACTTAACATGTCTGAAGTGTGTTACGAAGGTCTCGGGAGCTCTAAAAAATGAGTAGATTACAGACAAGAACATATCCATTACTGCTAATCTTCTCACCAACTACGCAAACTAAATGCTACGATTCCCACTTTGCAGCTGAGCAAATAGGACCGGCAGCGTGAAGCCCACTCCTCCCGGCCACAGCACGCTAACACGGAGCGCCTCCCCTGTCCCCAAAGACCTCCGTGAGCACGTCAAGCCTTTCTTCGTTTGGTTCTGAAAAATGATTTCCTCCCTCTGGCTAGTTTTTCAAACCTTCCTTTCACCTTTGGAGACAAAAAGGTTTCTCCATTTCATGTGTGAGGCAATTAGCATGACATAATTTCCATGGGAGCAACAGAATGATGGTGTTTCTCATCCCATCATCTTCCTACTCGCCGGAGCTTTTCTAAGTCCACCACAATTAAATCAGTTCCATTAGCTGTGAACTTATCCCTGCTCCAGGGAAAACATGGCCGGGGGCGGCAGGGGTACCTGATAGAGGTATGTCACAGCAAAAGAGGGCGCTCAGTTTTTGTACTTTATTATCTACGTTGAAGAAAGATCATTTTTCCACTGCTACAGAACAAACGTTAGAACTGTTATTTGTAATTCGCAAATTATGTAGCCAACAGAGTACATGTCCGAACATTACCAAAATGTTTTTCTTGGAAATGGTGACTCCAAGTACTATGTTAGATAACTAAGCCTATAGATTGTGTCTACACAGTCAACTGACAAAATCTGCCCCAAAGTCAGACCTACTGTGAGGAAATTTTCTACTTAATACACTGGCAGAAAGCATTCAATACCACAACTTTTTTCTACTTTATGCAAGGAAATATTTTAAATTATTTTAGCCTATATGTGTCAAAATTACTTTTACTCATTTGCGTTAGAATTATTCTGAGGAAATTCCTTGTTTGGCCTTTATTTTGCAGTGATGCAAACAGAACACTTTCCAGATTGGGGTTGTTATATGTACAGTTTAGCACTATAAGGATTTAAAGCCAGTCCGCAGTTCAGAACGCGTGGCTGTGGCGCAGCTCAGCGTGCGCGGCTGCGGGGAACTTCAGCTGTCTGAAACCTCTGACACTGCCACTAGGCCCCTGTCCACAGGGAGCTGCGTACCTGGGTGCCGTCTCTGTTCAACAGCAATGCTTTCACGTTATCTGTGTGCCCTTTAAGCTTCATTAATTTTGCACAGGTTCTTGGATCCCATACTCTTAAAACCTGTAAATTTTAACAGAATATCACACAAACTGAGTATATATGCAAATTTAAATAATAGATGACTTCCAGAAATCAAATGATAACCATTAAATTCTGAGAGCGAAATACTGCTTCTGCCATAGGACACTTTTTTAAGCAGGCCCCTTTTTTAAGCAGGAGGAGGCCTCTTCCATGTCAAATAAAACACACAGGCCTCCCCACCCTGTGCACCCGACCCTGGCGCCACACAGGACAGTAATCGTGCTTACACTCTCACGTGTTCATATAAACCCTTTCTTTTAGCATCCAGGCAAAACCAGGCAAAACCATTGTCTATATATTTAGTAATTACACGGATCACACTGTCTTGGTTTCTTTGTTTTCTAGTGTTAAAGTACACCTTAAGCTCCCCCTTACCTTCTCAGTGGACCCTGATACAATGATTGTTCCCAGCTGATTCATTGCCAGGCTGTAAATGGAATCTTTGTTCCCACTTAAAGAAGAAGCTATTAAGGATAAATGGAGACAAACGTTAACAAAATCATCAGATGTTTAGTAGCTAGTCAGCAAAATCTGCAAGCTTAAATATTCAATTTGGAAAATCTTATCTTTATCAGTGCTGCAAAGAAAAGGAATCTATCATAGAGATAATTCTAAACAATAATATTATCATCAAGTTTTACATTTTTTCGGGATTTGAGTACATACAAGTGCTCAATAAATATCTGCTAAATTGAACTGTACTGCTCTTTAAAAACTATTCCCATAATGTATTTTCAAAGATATACATGTGCCTATATATGAAAAAAATGTCCAAACTCAGTATTTTCAAAGAAACACAAATTATAATAAAAATACTAATTTCACCTACCAAATCAGATTTTTAAAAAAAGGTAATATATAATTATCAAAAAACACAGTAAAATAGCACTCTCATACATTACTTGTGGGAGGATAATTTGGTACAACTCTTCTGGAAGGAAATTAGACAATATGTTCATCCCCTTTGATTCAGAACAAAATATCACTGAAGTGAAAAAATGCATATAAAACTATACAGTATGATCCTAATTTTACAATAAAGAATAAATATAAACAAACATACTGAGAAGTGAATGAGTAAAGGAGTTACTATATGTATTTAGAAAAGTAACTGATTGTAGGAAGAGCTCAAGAAATGCTAGCTATTAGTATGATTTCTACAGTCATAAAAAGCTTATGTGAGAGCCTCTCTAAACAATTCTAAGCAAGACCTATCTGCTGCAGAATCCGTAGCCACTAAGCCTGCTCTCTGACCTCGGGAACAATCATGCTCTTTTGTTCCCTCTTGTTAGTGTCTCTCTGAGGCAGTTCCTTCTATCTAGAGAGCGCCAAATGAGGATCATGGCAGCTCCAGCAGGGACCAGCTGCTGAATCGCTGAGAGAAGGTACGGGGGACAAATCAAGAAGGACAAGGGGAGAATGGTGTTTAGACCTTCACATATTTCCTAGGGGGAAAGCCTCCCAACTTGCCCCTCTTGGTTTTATGAAAATGGCCTTGGCTATGTCAATGAGAGTATTCCATAGTTATGACAAATTGAATCTGTAATACACAGATCTAGATAGTTCAGGCCCATGTCCTGAGCACAGACCTTCCAGGCCAGGCTTAGCCAAAAATGTGCTCCTTAGAGGCCCTTCTGACTCCTGGCCTAGGGGACTCTAGTTGGTTGGGCCAAGCGTGAGGCTGAGTTTCAAGTCTAGACTTGCACAGGTCTGGTAACTGGAGATCTCTTGTAGAGGAAGCACTCATGCTATAACCTGTTGTGAACGTCGCTGAATTGCCTCTGGAAGCACCCCAGCCTCCCTGCACTCTCCTGGATTGGCTGGATTCTTTAAGGCTGCTCTGAAAAGGTCCATAAAATTAGCACTGAAAACCTTTTCTTTCTTTGCTTTGGCTATTTTCCATCTTGGCCATTAACTTAAAGGTTCTTAATATATAGTAACACTTTTAAAAGTCAGAAACTATCTACTTCGTCAGTCAATCACCTCCCCTATTAACATCTGCTGAGTGCGCGGCTCTGGGCCAGGTAATGCTGGGGGAGAGACAATGGGGTAGGAAGACAGACTCTTCTGTCCTGCAGGAACTCACACTTGAGCCAGGGAGCTAAGACAGGCACAGGTGCAAAAATACCAGATGACATCTGGAGAAGCTACCATTTTTAAACTGCAGGGAAGAACTAGCTTTTCCCTTTTCAAACATACTCTTGGGGGCTAGAATGCTATAGGTAGAAGCACACCCTAAATATGAACCACTGTATTGATGCAAACTTATCCAAGATGTTTTATAAACCATTCTTCATTTATGTCAACCTGGAGCACTGGTAGAGAAATTTATTCAAACACCTTACTTGTGACAGTGTTATTTGAGGCAGTCAGTGCTGTTAGAGTATTCACATCCCACAGGAATATTTGTCTGTCCAACCCAGCTGATGCCACCAGCTCTTTATCCTTGGCATATGCTAAGGCCTTTACATAATCCTGTAACAGAACACATGTACCATGATCTACATTGTAGATCAATAAGAAAATGAGACACATGAAATACTGAGACCACAATATTACACTAAATACACTGAAAATTATGTTTTTTTTACCTTATGTGTCCTTAATGTTGACATGCAAAATCCCTTATGTGCGTTCCATACTTTTACTGTTGTATCAGAAGAAGCAGATATTACTAGAAGAGGCAAAGAGTTAACAAACAACTTAGTAGGATAACATCACCACTTTAAAGACTTATCACAGATCAATGTAACATTGTTTCATACTAGTGTTTATATTGTATACACACATATATTATACATACTTCAATATTTATATTTCTAACAATTCAAATACCTGTTCATGTTCATGTACATACACATATGATGCATATATATCTAAAAGCTTTTTCTAGAACCTATTGTATTCTGTCTCAAATTTTTTTTCAATAGGCAGGGAAAACTTTTTTTAAAGTTCCAGTTGAACTAGTTTGATTGGGAAAATTCTTCTAACAGCCTGAAAAACCAGGAAATGGATCTTACCATAAGAAGAAGAGAAAGAGATATTAATAAGTTTGAAAGAAGAATACATATGAGTCTATTTGTATACAGTTCAAATGTAGGCAAAACTAACCTATCGTGTTTAGAAGAAGGAGGAGCAGGTGCCTCGGGGCAAGGGGTAGTGACTGGAAGGGTGGCTCAGGTGGGGCGGGGGGTGGGGGAGGTGGTGCCTTTGGGAATTTCTTTGATGTGGGTGTTTACCTTGCAAAATTTTATTGAGCTGTACTGTCAAGGTGTGTATGCTTTTCTGTATGTATGTTATATTTCAATAAAAAGCTCGCATGAAAAATATATCAAATTCAATTAAAAGCTTCCTGAAGCCTAATAATCAAAGAAATACTTACATGTTTTCCCATTGCAACAGAGCACGATGTCGTTGACCCAGTCAGTATGATGTTCCATAGATGCTATATACGGGTCTTGCTGAAATTAAAAGAAACTCATAAGGATGGCATTAGTTTATCTTAGAGGGTGAAATTTATTACAAATTATACATATGTTCAGATTCTTCAATTAGTCTGACATACCGCTCTAAGGCCTTAAAATCTAGCCCCTAACAGTTGACGCTTCCAGATAGCAGATGCAAATAGAAGTTTTGTTTCAGGACAGTTTTATTACTGATAAAAGCCTAGGTTTCCAGGGCAAACACTTAGCTTTTACGCCTTGAGTTAGTGGAGGCAGCAGTGCTACAGGACGGGTTTACTAGAAAGGACAAGGCAGGCCCCAGTCTGCAGGCTGGGGGGTCTGACTCAGTGGCGGTGAAGGCTCACAGCAGAGGGCGGGGCGGAAGGGGGCAGAGGGGCGGGGCCGGGCGCCCAGCCTGGGTGCAGGAGGAGAGGGACACTTGGTCTTTCTCTTTCTCCTGCGGTTTTCCCCTTCGGAATTAAATGTCTTCCTCATGATGGCTATGGTCCTTCAGAAAAGAAATGGAAGCCAAGGGCTAAAGGCATACTACCCTGTTCTCCATTTCAACTCAGTAATTTGAGATTCTTCTATGCCTCTCAGTTGGCTTAATTACCAGGAGAGATCTTCTAAAGAAGAATATATAGTTACATCCTACACCCAAGACAGGCAAGTTCAACGTATTTCATGGGCAAAGAGAACAGTTCTCCACATACAAGTCTATTTGGGAAACTATGCTATTTAATCTTGTCATAAAATAAAAACCAGAAAAAAAGATGTTTGAGGGAGGGACAGGGAGATTTCTAGATTCTTCCAGGTTAGTTTTTGTGAATGTTTTCCATAGTTTGCCTGAAATACTGTTAATTCCCAGAAAGGTGACATTCCAATTCAAATAAAAGTTCCAAAAAGCACTTAAAAGCCAAGATATTTTTACTTGCTATGTTTTTGATGTTGGGCCACCACTACTGCTACTGGTTAAAGAATCCAAACCCCACTAGACCAACGTCCATTTAAAGAAGTATCATCTAGCTTGTGTGCAAAATAGTGGGTCTTTTTTGGACTGAACATCAGACTTTCAGAGCTTGCTAAGGAGACACAGACTTTTACAACAAGGTTTGGCATCAGAGTTTTGAAGTCAGATAGGCTCCAATTCTCTGTCACTTACTAGCTATTTAACATGGATTTCTCTGAGCCTGTTTTCCCATCTATGTACATGAACAAAACAGCTGCCCTGAAAGAGTACTGTTAAAATTAAGACCATACTGGATATGGAAGTGCTGAGTACACACACTGTACAAAGCCAGGAGCTCAGTAAATGTCATTTTCCTTCCATGACTCTTCCTTTCTGTCATTCACAATACAGGCATTCAAATAAAATATAAAGAGACTTCCCTGCCATTTGACAGAGCATTTTATCTTTACATATATTTAAATCCCGGTCCCTGTTTAAGAAGGCAGACTTTAAGTCTCCTGAAGAAGGTGAGCATGTTGCTTTCCCACTTATACACCAAACTTGTATTATCAAATAAGATCCTACGGGATTTGTGGGCATCCTAATCACTTTTAAATGAAGAAAGCAAATATTTGTTCAAGATTAGTTATAAATGTAAAAGCCTATTTGACCTTTTCTTAGTAGCAGTGAAATGTTTGCCAACAAGCTTTTTGGGAACGTATTTAAAGCAGAAAAATGAGTTGTTACAAGTGATCCCCCTACTAGACAAATCTCTTTCTTTGTAGCAGAGAGCTGTTGGGCAGACCTAGTTAATGAGGAAGTCCCTCCCTTAGCTAGAATACTTCTGAAACTCCCCTGGGGTGTTTTTCTCAAAGACTCATAGAATCCTGGTTGCAATGTCTTTAAAGAGTGTACCAAATTAACTCAGTGCTCAGAGTTTACGTCTGAAGCTATGAAAGGTACGCCATACTAGAAAGGCCAAAATGTCAAATATTAGTGTGGTTCCTGCCTCACCTTGTGCTGGTTGACGCTCCATATCCTGATGATGGAGTCTCGCCCTGCCGTGAAAAGTCTGTTGAGTGCTGGGTCCAGCTGCAAGGCGTTGACTCCATTTCGATTGTACTTCTCCACTTCATCTCGAATAACATAGGAAACCTGACAAATACGTCAACATTTGCTTTCTGTGAAATTACAGAACATGCAATAAAATACAGCCGACTAGTGGCCAATCTCAAATTCAAAATCCCACATTTCCCAATAAAAAACTTATTTTCACTCCAATAAGAATTTCATTTTACTCTATAAAAGACAAAGGCTGAGGCAAAAGGAATGACATTAGTAACGGCCTCGTCCAAGACAATCGAGTCTGGGGCTAAACTACTGTAATTGCTTCCTAACCGGCCTCCTCTTCCCCTCTGGTCTCTCTTTAACCCCTTTCCCACAGAGCAGGTGGAGGCTGGACAGGTTCTGCTCAAAGAACCTGTCCAGTGCTCACCCTGGAGTCACGATTTGATCTAACTCCTCAACACGGCCTCAAGTGCCTCGCTCGCCTCCCCTGCCACTCATCGTTGCTTACCCTGCCCTGTTCCTTGCACACACGGTGCCTCCAGACCGGCACCTGTGCGAATCCCTGTCTGTTTGGAAGGTCTTCCTCCCCTCTCCGTGGCCACTTCCACTTCAGCCTTTAGGTTTTTGTTTAAATAATGCTTCCTCAAAAATGCCTTCTCTCACCAGGCAAGCAAACGAGGTTTTGTATTCCTCTAACACACTAAACTTCTTCAGGGCACTTTCCACTATTTTGTTATTGTGGGTAAGTTCTGTCTGCTTCACGTGAAATTCAATAGAATCAACCAAAAGCAATTACAATTATGAAAATGTCAACAAGCTGGCTGGCAGCCAAAAGCAAAACTTTTCTAATTTAATGAAATAAACAGTTAAGACTGTAACAGGAGGTGTGGAGGAGGAGGAGGGAGTGGGGAGGTCTATTTACAATAGCAACAAGAATAAATACCTAAAATAACTGATAGAACAAGGTACATCAAAGAAAACTTGACTAAAGGAGGCACCATATTGTAGCACAGGAAGACTCAAAATTAACAACTGTTTTCTAAATATATGAATTTAACCAAACTTTGGCCAGAATCTCATTGTATTTCTTTCTAGAAGTTGACAAAATATATAGTATAATTTTTTTGAGGGAATTCCCAGTTATTTTTTTAAAATGAAAGCATATTCTTAAAAGATCTTAAAAGATATCATAAAACTAAAGCTACCAGAATTACAATGAAGTACTACAATAGGAATATATAAAAGAATCAATGGACTATAATGAAATTTGGAAACATTTTTCTATTAAAATATTTATTTTGATCTAATCACAATGTTTTAAATCAATGTGGGCATGATAAGTTATTTAATAAATTATCTAGGAGCATCTAGTGATTCTACTGGGCAAAATTATATACGCTTTTCCCAAATCTTAAACCAAAATGAATTTTTATGTGGACTAAAGATTGAAAATGAATAATTTAGTCATAAATACTTTTAAAAAGCAAGTGAATATTTACATAAGACTACATTGAGAAGGCTCTACTAACATAACAAGACAGCAATCTTTACAAAGGAAAAGAGCAACACTGTTCTGACTAAATACAAGTCAAAACCTTTCGTATGTACACAAATATTCACCGCAGCATCACTCACTAGAGCCAAAACAACTCGACTCAGTTGCTGAGTGGAAACAACTCAGATATCCATCAACCAAAAAAGCATAAACAAAATGTGCTATATGCATGCAATGGAATATTATTCAGCCATAAAAGAAATGAAGTACTGACACATGCTACAACATGAATGAATCTTAAAAACATGCCAAATGAAAAAGGCCAGTTATAAAATGCCACATATTTTATGATTCTGTTTATTCTAAATGTCCAGAATATGTAAATCCACAGAGGCTGAAAGTAGAATAGCGGTTGCCAGAGGCTTGGAGGAGAGGAGAAAGGGAGTGACTATTAATGGGTATGGGTTTCTTTTAGGGGTGATGAAAATGTTCTGGAATTGGGTGATCAATGTACAACTTTGTGACTATATTAAAAATCACTGAGTTGTATAGTTTAATAGGGTGATTTTATATTATGTTAATTTTATCTCAATAAAGCTGTTATTTTCCAAAAATGCCTCCAGAATATCAAAGAATAGTGTGGGCAAGGTTAAAAGGCAAACATTTAACTGGGAAAATAATGAAATAAATACAAAAGACAAAAGTTTACTCTTGATAACATACAAAGACTCCTTACAGGACAGTAAGAACAGATCAAACTCTCCAACAAAAAGAGGAGTAAAGATCATGAAGAGGAAATTTTTCAAGAAGAAAAGAAAATGGCCAACGAACATAAATAATCAATGACATGAAAAGTCTGTATACACAAAGACAACAAGGATGTTTTCTTAACCCAGACTTTGGTACAAATAACTATAACTGAAATCCACTCAAAGCAGCTTAAATTAAAAAAAATAAAAAGAGTTTAACATAAGGATACACGATATTTAACAGCCCAAGGGCAGGAAATATAGCTATGACTCATAAAAGACATTTTAAAAATAAAATCATGGGACTTCTCTTCTGAAGCCTTCCAAAAGCTCTCACTCCATTTAAAGTTCAAATCCCTCGCACCTCTGGTTCTACCCTGCACCCTCACGCTCACCTCAAACTGACTTCTCCCAGCTTCGTTCACGGTGGTCACACCCAACTCCTTTCTGTTCCTCAAACACATCACGCTCTTCCTCCTTCCTGCCCCTTCACACTGACTGTTCCCCATGCCAGGAAGGTTCCCCACCTCACCAGTCCCCACAGGAAATCTTCCCCTGGCTGATGTCTTGTCTGGCACCTCGGCCCTTCACTTCTTGGTGGAAAGGTCCCCTCCTCTCAAAGGCCTTCCCTGATCTCCGCCCCCATCACTTACCCTACTTACTTCTTTCACAATTATACTGCACTCCATATTTATCTTTTTTTGTTACAGCTTCATTAGAATGAAAGTTGCAAGAGAGCAAGGAACTTGCCTGCCTTGTTCTTCCCACCTCCCATTATACTGTCTGGCATAAAAGACATTTAATAAATATTTGCTGCATGAATCAGGTATTAGCCATCAGAAGCCAAGTTGGCTTTAGCACCAATTTCAGTTTCTCTTAATCTCTCATTCTCCGGGGCTTTAGGGTCCCTTACCTGCTTCCCTCCACACTTTCCCTTTAACAGAGACTATGTAGCATATTTGAATCCTAATTTTCAAATTTCTGGGAGATTACCTGAGTGGTCCAGTGGGAAAGGGTCAGAGAACAACACGATTGTCAGGTCCTCATTCCAGGTGGAAAGTAATTAGCTAAACAAGTCTGGGCCACCTCTTTAAAGGTATCTACCACAGATGTGCAGTTAAAAATGGCAAGGAACACTGGCTGCTGTGGCTCAGTAGACTGAGTGCTGGCCTGTGAACCGAAAGGTTACTGGTTTGATTCCCAGTCAGAACACATGCCTGGGTTGTGGGCCAGGCCCCCAGCTAGGGGCGTGTGAAAGGCAACCTATCAATGTATCTCTCACACATCAATGTTTCTCTCCCTCTCTTTCTCCTTCCCTTCCCCTCTATCTAAACATAAAATAGATAAAATCTTTTTTAAAATGGCAAAGAATTAGAATATCCTAATTGGATAAATTTTGGCACATCCATAAAACAATACTATTTAATTATTAAAAATGTTGACATAGATTTAGACTCATTGATATAGGAAGAAAGCCATGTTATATTTAAGTGAAATATGTGTGGTCCAACATAGCCGTGTATAATCATAATTACTGTAAAAATGTTTCAGAATGTTAAATACATATTTAAAAATAAATATACAAGTTTGGAAAGAAACACACATACAAAACCACCAGTAGTTATTCCCAAGTAATGGAATTACGGTGACTGTCACTCATGCCTTTTTTATATGGTATGAATGTTTTAAAATGGGCATATATTATTCAGTATTTTGAATTTACAATTAAATTTTTATCCGAGTAATTCGTGCCTGTACTCACAAAATCAAGTAGTACTGAAAGACTGTAATGAAAAAGCATCTACCTATTGTCTGTGTAATACTCCCTGTATCAGTCTTAATCCCTAGAGGTAACTAATTTTAACTCTTAGTTTCTTCCGGTTACTGAATTTCTTGAAATACTGTCCTTATTCTACAGTTTTCTGGTTTAGCCATTTTAGATCTACCTATTTACTCAGGCTATGGTAGATGAGGCTGTAATTCTGAAATGACCCCCAATAACTCCTCCCTCTACTCTTCTGACATAGATATATTGCTATTTTTGGTTGACTAAATAATCAGTGCTACACTGTTTGACTTTGTAATTGCTATCTACTTGCTAGCTAAGTACTATATTATGAATACATTTCCTTCCTCAGAGAGCTTTTTGTTTTCCCTAGAGTTCTTTCTTTTCTTTTTCAATGGTTTCCTCTAACTTCAATTTCCTTTAATTGCCGCGCCATATTAGACATTCCAGCAAGAACCCACCCCGCCCCCTTTCCCCAGAAGGCGTCCAGCCCAGTACCCTCCACCTTCCACTCCAGTCTGGGCTGGCTGCCCTCTCAGTCTGCTGGCACAGCTGTCATCTTCTGTGCTTCCCTTCACTGTTTTTCTGGGCTAGAGCCACTGTTTCCTGAATGCCGATGTCTCCTTTCTTCGTTCACTACCCGTTTTGCTGAAGTACATCCCCAGGACCTTAAGAAACTAACAGCAAAAGATACCTGGGAGGTGACTTAGCCCTTGCATGCCTAGAAAGGTCTTTACCTTTATACTCGATTGGACAGAGGAGTCCACGTAGGAAGACTCCCTCAGCTTCTGAAGGCACTGCTCTAGCTTCCTCTAGCATCCCGTGTCGCCGCTGGGTTCAACGTCATTCTGTCCCATTCATCGTATGGTGACCCTGCTTTCATTCTCTCCTGTAGCACCACCAGCTGCGCCCCCCAGCCTCGACAGCGCTTTCAGGACCTTCTCTGGGAAATTTTCTTGTCACAATTCATCAATAACTGTGTGTGGTGTGTGCGCGCACTCCTTAAAACTCCCATCGGTCAGATGTTGGAATTTTCAAACTGATCTTTCATCTTTTA